TCCGTCGTCTTTCTCTCGTCGTGCTCCAGTCGTGGTCCCCGTCGTACGACCGTCTCGGTCCCGTCGTTCTCAGACGACGATAGAAAGGACGCGTGAACGACGGTAGCGGGCGTTTCAGACTTACACGGGTAATCTGAAATGGAATCGCGTTATTTCGTGCGACTGCACCGGCCGATACCTCTCTGTTAGGGTAGAAAGAAAGAGAGACAGAGTGGTTGAGGGTGAGTGGATATGCCCCTGGTGGTGGCATTCCTCGTCGATGAAGGAAAGAGAAACAAGAACTTTACCTCTACCAGGAAAAAGCAAAGCTAGGCCCACTTCATTGTACCACGATGACCGGTGACGACCGGTGACATAAAGTCTTGATCTCAATCGCTAACCACACCTTTCGTGTTGGACTTTCGGAATGCCTTTCTAAATGGGCTGTCGCATCGCCAAGTCTCTTTCCCTCTCTCTCTCTCCCCCGTGTGGGGCTTGATGCGCGTCAACGCGTCCACCGCAGCTTGACAGGTGTGCAAACGCCGCAGAGATTTGACCGTAGTTTCATTTATTTATTTTTTAAAAGTAGTTTTTCGAAGACTGCGTCGAATTTCCGGGCGCGCGGCATTGGCGGCATTCCGTTCCGAGGGGTGCAGTATGACGGACTTGTCGAGAAAGTAGACTCGCCCCGGCCGGCCCGGCCCGGCCCGCCGCCCGGTCTCGTTCCGGAAAGATGAGCCGATGAGATTGAAGCCCAGACGCATCAGGCACTTTGCTAATTAAAGCACATGCTTATTCTTGCCCGCGCGCTGCTCCGCCATGCTCCACGCAGCTCGCCGTGCCTGCACGTGCTCCGCCTTTATTTATTTTTGAGCTGTGTGGCTAATGTCATTTTGTTTCCACTTTTTCCCCTATTTTTTTTGTTGGGGTCATTACTTCCACCACAGTTTACAGAGGGGAGGAAAGGTCGCGATGCACGCGTATTTGCGAATTCGGCCCGCTTCTCACGCGTGGGGAAATGTCACCCCCCCTCCCAACAGTGGGCCAGAAGACCGGTGGAGGCGGTCAAAATCCCGGACCCGTTTTGAGCTCCAGAGTCGCTAAATGGGACTCGAACCTTACGTGTGACCCCACCAATGGATTGCTCTCCCGACGAGGAATCCATTGGTGGGGTCACACGTTCGGTTCTAGTCCTGTTTAGCGACTCTGGAGCTCAAAACGCGTCTCGAGTATTGTCCGCCTCCACCGGTCTTCTGGCCCACTGTGCCCCGGCCCCCCTGCGCAGGCGTGTGCATTCCGGGGCATTCCAGGGAGCCGCCCTTTCATCGGTGACCGGAGTGAATCCGGACGGACGTCTCTCTCGCACCCCCACGGCATGCCGACGGAGCCCCCCGTGAGTGCGAGAGAGACACTGCGACGGAAGCACTGTGTGTACAGTGTGCCGGCTTGCTTTGTCAACCGGCTTTGTTGGTGGGTTGGCTCCGCCATGGCTCCGCGGACCGGCAGCGCACACGCACTGCACGCAGTTGGCGGGGAGAAGAGAGTGCGCGTGCTGTCCGGTAGTCCGGCGCGGCTTGGTCGGCTTCCGTCCGTGCGGCGCCGCGATCTCGTTGAAATGCCATTGGCCGCCGGGAAAGGGGAAGCCCGCCATTGGCTGCAGCCGATAACAGTGCTGCATGCTCGTCTCCTCGGAGGAGAGGGCGATCAAAGCGAGTTGCCGCCACTGTGGGCCTGTGTGTCCGCCTGCCGGTACACCTCCTTGACTGGGACTCCCCCTGCTGCCCTTTACCCCGCTGCACTGCCCTTTGAGCGGCGGCCCGGCGGGGTGGGGCCCTGCCCTCCTGCCGGCCTCACGGGTCCGCGAGGCGTGATAGTGTCCGCGACAACGCCCTTCAGACCCTACCGGGTAGGGCCCAGGCGAGGGCCCGAGTCGGGCCGAGGGCAGAGTCCGCCCCACCCTTCTCTCTTCGGCCCCAAGACTGCTTTATCCCGTATGGGCCGTCGCACAGCGGGCCAGAAGACCAGTGGAGGCGGCCAAAACTCTAGACGCGTTTTGGGCTGCAGAGTTGCTAAATGGGACTCGAACCGAACGTGTGACCCCACCAATGGATTGCTCTCCGAACGAGGAATCCATTGGTGGGGTCACACGTTCGGTTCGAGGCCTGTTTAGTGATTCTGGAGGTCAAGACGCGTCTAGAGTTTTGGCCACCTCCACCGGTCTTCTGGCCCACTGTGCGTCGGCACTGACCGGGGGAGGGGAGCGAGTTCCATGGGGTGTCGACGATGCCGCCCCGCCCCGCCCCGACCCGCCCTGCCCCGTCCTGCCACGGCACCTTGGCTCGCCTTGGCGCCTCGTTCTCGTGCCCTTCAGGCGCCCCTGGGGGTGCCCCTCCTGGGGTTGCCCCGGTCGAGGGGTCTCTGTGCGAGTGCGAGAGAGAGGGCCTCTTGATGAGCCGGAGGCCGGAGGGTGCCTGGGTGGAAGTAGGCCAGTCGGGTCCGCGCCGCCGGTGCAGCTGTTCAATGAAAAGGGGTAGGGCCGAAATAAATTGGCGCATGGACGGGGCGGCGCTGGCAGGCCGTCGGGCCGTCGGCAGCACCGCACCGTGGGCGTGGCCGGCCGGCTGGACGCCAAGCAGGCCAAGCAGGGGGTGGCCTAATGGTTTTCGGCTTTCCGAAAGCCTTTCTGGGGCTTACGGAGTGCGAGTTTCCCGGCGGCGCTTCCGAACGCAGTGCGGTCTGCATCCTTCGCGGTCTGGAGTCCCGAGAGTTGGAGCACCGAACTGCGGAGGGTGCGGCTGGCTGGCGGCTGACGGAAAGTGCGTCGGGACGCCTCCTCCTCTCCAGGACGTTGGAGAGGCCTGGCGAGAGCTTGTAGGCCACCGCGTGTAAATGACTGCGCGGGGAGAGACAGAAAATGAGTACTGGTTCGAATGACTCTTAGTTAGACCGACTTTTCATGCCGCATTTTTCGACAGTGGCCCCGAGGCGCCGTGTGCACGTGTTGCTGGAGGCTGGAGAGGCCCCATAAGGCGGCACGTGCGTCCACCTGTTGTCGCGTGGCGCTGGAAGTGCTGCACGCCGTGCTGGACACTGCACTGGCGGCACGGGGCGCGGCCAGGGAGGCCGGCGGGGCCCCGCGCGGGGCATGGAGGTGGCGCTGCGGGCGCTGCCGCCCGACGTGGCGCAGTGGTTGCTGGAGCTGCGCGGGGGTCCGGGACTGCCGCTGTCTCTGCACGCCCCTGCCTGGAACCGCCTCGCCGGCCTGCACGGCCTGGACGGCCTGGACTTGGACGAGAGCACCGTGAGCCTCGCAGCGGGGAGCCCCGACGACGCGCTGCTGCGCTCCGCCACCCTGGAGGACCTGTCGACCGTCACGGACCTGCCGCTGGACCACGAAGGGGACAAGTTCGCCATGGACGGCGAGCACCGCGAGGGCGAAGATGACTTCCCGTCGGACTGGGACACGAGCTCGTCGTGCAGCTCGGACAGCTTGGAGGGGCTGGTGGTGCAGGCGCCGCCAGTGCCGACGCGTCCATCGCCGCCCCTGCTCCCCGAGGACGACCTGCTGAACCGGCTGAGCGGCGGCGAGTGTCGGGCGCTGCCCGCCGTGCCCGAGGAGGACGAGGATGAGGTGTCGCTGGACGAGGAGGAGGCGACGGTGCTGCAGGCGCTGGACTGGGCGCGGTCGCCCCAGACCTCCGCGTCGTTCGTCAACCCCGCGGTGGCGGCGCTGCGCGCGCTGCGCAGGACGCAGTCGGCAGAGGCGCTGACGGTGCCCCACGAGTGGGAACTTTCTGCCACCCGCCGGACGCGGAGCGCGCCCAGGATGTCGCTGTCGCCGCCCTCCACGCCGACGCCGACGCTGTCGCCGACCTCCATGCTGACGTTCGTCACGCCGTGCGCCAGCCCGCTGCTCAGCCCGCTCTCGGCCACTGAGTCCTCCTCGTCGACGGCGTGCGCGGAGGCGCTTGAGAGCGCGGAGGCCCTGTGCCGCGACCTGGACTGCCTCACGGACCGCACCCTGAGCCTCAGCGTGGACGAGGACATGGTGTTCGACGACGAGTTCCTCGCGCTGTGCTCGGAGGCCAATCGCCTGGCAGAGACGTGCCTGTCGGCGTCAGTGGCTCCCGTCGCCAGTGCCACCCCGCCCGCGTCGCCCGCCCCGTCACCCGCCGCCCAGCCCGCGCAGCCCGCCCGGCGTCCAAAGTTCGACATCAACGCCATCTTCGACCTCGGTGGCCTGGAGCCCCCTCGACCCCCGGTACGTAAGCGGAGAAGGGTGCCGGCCGAGGATGGCGCGGCCGGGGTGCCCGAGGTGGCCGCGGTGACCGAGGTCCGCTGCCACACTGCCGAGCTGCTGCTCATGACGCGGGCCAGCGAGCGCACCCACCTCAAGCGCAGCCGGAGTGTGTCGGTGCCGGACGCGCCGGAGCACGAGGACGGCGACGACCACGCCACGCCCTTCGCGACGCCCCTCATGACGCCCGAGCCCGTCGCGCCCTTGTGCGCGTCCTCGCCGGAGCTGCGCGCGGACAGCCCCGCGGCCTGCCGGGCCTCCCCCGCGGCGTCGCCACCGCCTCGGCCGGTCGCTGCCAATGGCCTCTGCGCCAATCCCCAGGGCGCCGACGGCAACGACAACGCCAGCGCCCCGCCCGACGCGGTTCTCACCATCGAGCGATGTGACTCCGTCAACTTCGACGCCGACGCCGTCCTGGCACGCAAGGGAAGTGTGACGAGTGACGTTGTCGCCTGGCGCTGCGACCTTCTGAGGGAGGCGCTCTCTGACGACGAGGACGCCGTCGACGGCCCGTCGTGCTTGGAGACCAAGCAGGTGATTCCCCTCGACGCGCACAAGGCCTCACCTCAAGCGTTCTTGTGTGTCTGTGACCCCTTCCTCCCCCACCCGTTTTTGTTTTTGGGTTGCCTGCCTCATAATGTTATTTTCTGTTATCTCGTGTCAAAGCCTGCCCATTGTGCCGAAGTGCGAGTTTCTTAAGACCTGTCATTTTGCTGTGTTGCAGTGGTTCTCTTCAAGTGACAACAAAGGGCGTGTTTATTTCTTTGAAGAGAACAGCTGCGAGTCGTCTTGGAACCTGCCAAACATCATCTTATCATCAGCTCAAGTAAGTAACTTTTGCAAATTTCCCGGGTTCATAACACGCCCTGCAATGCTGTTCATAGTGAAACAACTCATAGATTTGATGAAATAAATTGAGTTTGTGTTTCCTTGCCCTGTTTTGATTGAATTTGATTGGCTTTTTCAAGGAATCTACATTAGATGACGATGGCAATCATCCAGCGCTCTCTTCAACCCCTGTTGAAGATGGTGGAGAAAAACCAATTAAACCTGACAGAAGTGACAAACATGAAAAACTTTCATTACGCAACACAAAGTCACGATCAATGGTTATCGTTGATAGTAGGTGGGTGCTCTTCAAGTTATGATAGAAGTAGCAAATGATCGCCACAAAAATTTATTGAACTGCTTTTATTTTAGCACTACAAAGGACTCCAAGAATTCTTTCGTACCAAGAAATTGGCCACAGCTTTTTGATGGTGACATGGTAAGTCTATTGATGTGGATCTTGCTTCAAGAAATTAAAATTAAGACTGTGTCCATCCTGTGTTTTGTGTACTTATTCAAATGATACATTACTCTTACAGTGTGTCCTGAAAGAAGGCCCTATGTATCGTACTAAAATAACCGAAAATGGAAAGAAATTGCGCAAGAACTGGGCTTCATGTCATGTGGTTTTAACAGAATTGTTTCTTCTTTTATTCCGAGATGCAAAGTCCTTTGCTGCAATGGTACAATTTATTTGATTTCTTTTTCTGTCCTGTGACATGCATTCTTGTTTTTTTTTTCTGTTGAGTTGTTTAATAATTTGTATCTATTTGGTTTGTGCCAGAAGTCTGCAGCGCAAGGAAGACCGGAATTGTGTGTTGATCTGAATGGTGCTTTAATTGACCAAGTTGATCGTGGTGACAAAGCCTCTGTTACAAGTCGAAAAAATGTATTCTTAGTCAGTACTGTTTTGGGATTGCAAGTGTTGTTCCAATGTGATTCTAGTCAGCAGGCAGAGGAATGGTTTAATGCAGTTCATACAGCCATCCACAATTTGGTAGGTAAATGTTTGCCTAATGTGTTATGAATACAAAACATAATAAAACTAATTTGCTGCTTTTTTTCTTAGCCATCTGGCTTTGATAGCTGCCCTAGAATCAAAGTAACCAAGGAAATGGATCGTCTATTTGCCGAATCAAATTCACCAGAACAAACCAAGAAATTTCCTCGAATTGGACGCTCTAAATCTGTGAAAAGTAAGTTGTCCTTTAATTTGTGTGAATTGGAAAATTGCATACTTGTAAAATTAATATAAGCTCTCTACAACCACTAAAACTTTAAAGTTAATGTGTAAAATTACTACAACCACATAGCTCTTACCATTTGTGTTCAAAACACTAGCCCAAATTTTTGATGAGCACATCAAATATACTAAACAGAGGAGTAGACAGAGGCACAGGGGTATAGTAGAATCTGGTAGTGGAGGGGGAAGTGGTGGGGAAGGATGGGAAGTAGGTAATTGGTGAAGGGATTGAAAGGGACAGAGGAGGGAAGGGGACTGAGCACTGGCATGGTACTGCAGCGGCCCAGTGTCAGTGTGAAACGTAAACTGTCATCATGAATTTGCCATGGAGCTGGAGAGGTAAAGTTTTAACTCTTGCCAATGTTTTGTAGTTGTGCAGTTTTTAAATTGATTCAAGTTTTGTCTGCAAAGAGTTCTTTTTCCTCTTGTTTATTATCATCTGTGTATCTTGCACATGGAGCTGATAAGGCTTATCTACGGCAACCAGGTATCAGTTTGTGGCAAGCTACGGTCTAGAAGGGTGTTTCACAGAATCTGTTTTCTGTTTCATCTTTTGTAACAGCCTCCGAAATGGATACCACACTTAAAGAGCTAAGGTCCACTAATAGATTAAGTGTGATAAAAGACCATCTCTCGTTCAACACCACAGGCTCCTATGTTGTAACAGCCAAGTACATAGGTGTGCATCAAAATTTCTTTATTTTGTACATCTGTTGTTAGATTGAAGTCGGTATTGGTAGTGTTAGGTAGCATAGGTAGATGAGGCATTTCAACATCCAAAGTGAAATAATCTGTATTTAAATTGCGTTATCATACACCTTAGCTTAGAATGTTTACTGCAAGTAGATATTTATGCTGTTCCATTGTTTATACTGGATGTACAAAATCTCTTATTTTCTTTTTCAGTAAAAAATAAGGAAGGCAGTATTGAAGACTTAACTGTAAGTGTGGCCGAACGACAAACAAAGATTAGAGCTCGGCTCAAAAAGTTCTTCAATCGGCGGCCGACTATGGAGTCCCTAGTAAAGAAGGGTATTTGGAAAGGTAATTTCAAACATTTCATCCAATGTAATGTTCCACATGAATAAGTCTTGAAAACATTTTTAATATTAATAATAATTAATGGATGAATCAGATGAACCAGCATTCGGCTGCTACCTGGAGCATGTTTGTGGGAATGAATCCCCTCGTGTGCCTCTATTTGTACAACGATGCATTGCTGTTATTGAAAGCAGTGAGGACAATATGAAGACTGATGGACTTTATCGTGCCTCTGGTAATTTATCCCAAGTGCAGAAAATCCGGCTACAGGTATGTTTATAGCTTGGCTTAAGCGTTGTCATTTCTTCTTGCCTTTTGTTCCATGCCTTTCATCATCACTTACTCTGTTGACCAGGTTGACCAGAATAACTTGTCTGCTTTGGATCAAGAAGAAGATGTTCATGTTTTGACTGGGGCCCTAAAGCTCTTTTTCCGGGAATTAAAAGAACCCTTAATTCCATATGCTGCTTTCAGCAAGGCCATCAAAGCAAGCAGTACGTTTTGAATTTTGTTTAATCTTTGATGTTGGCTGTTGTCAATCATAATTTTCATTGTGTATTTCTCTGCTTGTTAGCTCTTCAAAGCAAGAAAGACAAGTTATCTCAATTCAAAGAGATAGTGAAGTCGCTCCCCTCTGCCAACCATGATACATTGAAAATACTACTGAAACATCTCCTCAAGTAAGATAAAGTGTTGGAAATTACAATTAAATAAATACTATTTTTGTGTTGTTATCCTTTGATACGACTGTGGTTATTTTGCAGGGTCACCAGTTATCAAGAATTTAACCGTATGCATATTCCAAATCTGGCTATAGTTTTTGGGCCAACCTTGATGTGGCCAGAACAAGAATCCCAAAACATGGCTCTTGATCTAATGCAGCAAAATCTTGTCATTGAGGCATTTCTACTTGATTTTGAAAATATTTTTCGATAGAGCAGTAATGCCTTGCTTTAGGAAAAATAACATACATGCTTTTGAGTTTTTCTTAGTTGCTCTATGCCTGTCAATAGACCTTACTTACAGCTGAAGAATTTCTCTTTGAATGCTCCTTTATATTATGCTTAGGGACTCAAGTGCACATACAATACAGTCCTCCAGTTTTTCTCAGGTTTTACCCTCTTTTAACGTAGGTACCTATTTCTTAAAAAAATCTTTTGTTAGTCATTCACAACTTTTCTTTTCTTTCTCCTGAATCTGTCTTTTCTCATGGCCCCTCAAACAAAATAGTATTGTCAAGAGAAACATTATATGATGAACTAACATTTGCATTCCAACTTAAGACTATTCCGTTTCAGAAATTTGAGGTTTCTGTGATACATAGAAAGACATGATTCATAGAGTGTATTACACATGAGCTAAGACCCCCCGTTGTGAAGTCATCTGTTCTTTGGTACAGAAAACTTAGTGATATATGCTAATATTTTTGTGGAAGGGAGGGGCATAAGTGATAGAAGTTCTTTTACTGATTTTTAACAAATAGTTTTACTAGTCCTTTGAGTTTTGTTATCTTATTAAGATATGTTTTGAATGTTATTTTGGAGCCAGTCATGAAGCAGTTCAATAATTTTGTAATGTATTGTAAATGAATATGAATGAAGAGTGCTGTTCCAATTTTCACTGATGAAAATATAAACTGTTGGAAGAAATTATTTACTTCTAAATAATTACAACAAATTGTATTTTTATTATTATTGAGCACCAGTGTCCGTTGAGAATCATTGATAATGTTAGATTTTATGTAGAGTTTTATTCATGTAAGGGGAATACTTCCATTCAATTTAGTTTGTGATCTGAGAGAGTTAAAAGTAGTGACTATCTCATGGTGGATTCCACAAGTTGAATCTTTAATCATGAGATTACGAAGTCCACTATTTGTTTTCTAGCATTTTTCCACTTGTTATTTTGCAGATGTTCAAAGTGCTATTGTACATTCATTAGAAAGCTGCTGGTCAGCTTCCAGAAACGTTCCTTATGTGATTTAGTTCTAAGCAGAAATGAAGCGGAAGTTTATTTTATCTGTGAGTGCATGCTGGCATGTTGAATTAAAGGCATATCACATGTACCACATGCCACAAAGGAGGCCTTCTTTTTGTATGTGATACTCTTAATGAAAAGTATTTTTTTAGAGTATTGCAATTTGTGGGTGTGAAAAGAGTTTATGAGTATAGGGTTCCATTCTGTGACAAACTTGTTAAACCATTTGAGAAAAAGTTGAACTTAAAACTGTTGTTTACTACAGGTCTTAAAGCCAAGAAATTTTTATGAATCATGAGTAGTTTTTTAAATTTAAAATTTGCAATGATGTTCCAAGCAGTTGTCACTAATTTTGCAGCCTTCAGCTTCATCGAATACCAATGATATTATCTTATAATGTATTAAAGGCTTAGCAGACTGCATATCCTAATCTAGTAATAGAAAAAAGTTATGTTAAACATGACTTTATTAAATTAACAATGTTGATTTTAAACTGTACATTTTGTCATTTTTTTCACATAAATCATGATTTATTTAACTGAGTCTTGATTTTTCCTGAAACAATCCTGTTGTAACATAATACACACAATGAAAAGGCTACAAAATAAATGAATAAATAATAGGAGTCACTGATCACATATAAGAAAATTAATTAATACTGTATCAAATTCAAATTACTGCACTTTGTCAGTTGTCACTCTTTCCTTGTTCCTTGTCAGGTGTCTTGCAACGTGGCGTTGGTATGCCTGCTCTGAGAAGAAGCTCTTGTTGCATTGGTCACATATGAAGGCAATACGTCCTTTATGGAGCGCTTCATGTGACCAATAGTCAGCCAGAAGGAATTTTCTATCACAGTATTTGCAGGACTTGAAAATATCATCACAGCTGTAATAATAATCAAATCTTAGGTACTTTGAAATTGAGGTAAACAACCAAATCCTGTGATTACAAACCTTTTGTTTGGAGATTTTGGCTCAGTCTTTAGGTTGAGCTTGGGGTTGGGTTTGGTGAAGGGCTTGCTCTGTTCTGTTGCCGCAGGTATTGTGGCTGAAGGTTGTGTGGCTGAGGTTTGTGTGGCTGAGGGTTCTGTGGCTTTGGCTGAGATAATGGTAGGTACAGTAAGTAAAGGGCCTTTTGCGGGAAAATCTTTTGCTGGAGATGCTTTGTGTAGAGATGCTCCTGAACTGGTCACATTGACATAGGTAGTTGATGGAGGTTGAGGCTTCCTGACCTCTGATGGGGAAGGGCCGGAATGCTTCTTCTCAAGAGTGTCAACCGGTTTCTGAAACAGAAATGATGAGTAAGCATCATTGAAACCAAAAACAACAACCACAACACTTGACGATTCAACTTACAGTGAGATTTGACACTAAGGTTGTTCCGAATTGAAATTGAAATCTTTTACTGCTATCATCCTCTTCGGTTTCTGACAGTTGTCTCTTCTAATAACAAAAGCAAGCAAGAGGGAAATTCATTACAATAAATCAATGATCAATCCATTAAATTCAGTAGCAGTAATTGTACTTACTCGTGATTTATCCTCAGTCCCAGCTTTTAACAGAAGTTGCGCCCCCTTGACTTTCTGATAGAATTCATACGTCTGATCTAGTTGTGAAAGACAACACAAGCATATTTGTGTTGGCAGACTGTCGTCCGGTTTCACCTGTCGAGACAGTTCAAAATACAAATCTCAAGAAGCCGATGGGAAGTACGTTCAGGTTATGGACACGCACCTGCACTGGGGAGCAAATCCGCAACTTGTGCTCCAGATTGATGCGCCGGCCGTGCTCCCCAAACACTGGCACGAACTGCGCCACCGGCAGCGCGCACAGACGACACCTCTCAGCCAGTGTCATGTTGTTTTAATTCACGACTTGACCTGCAAAGCCTGCAAAGTACTTGTCGTCTCGTCACCTCTCGTGTTTCAAAACAAACCAATTGTTTCTGATTCTCAAGCCACCCACTAGAAGCGCTAGTAATGTCGTATCCGGCAGAGATTGGGCGCCCGAAACTTCCCGGGCCAGACACATTGCGTTTCGGCGTCGTGCAGACGACGCACAGGTTCACAGCCAGGATGGGCTTGGAGGAACAGGGGAGGAGAAGTAGGTCCAAAATGCAGACCTAATTGGTGCAGGTTCGCTAGGCTACGGCTGATTTCAAAAGGGTCACGGGCAATTTTTTACTCGTTCTTTACACCCTAATTTCAAAATTTAGGTTAATGTGAAGAGAACGAGTATTGTGCTCAAAATCAGTTTTTGTTAGCTACATGATTCAACTCTCTATGCACACAAGGAAAACCATATGTAATGTACTCATTTGAAAGATCAAAGCCTCATCTTTAAGGCGTAAATGAAGTATTTTTCATTTCATTATGAAAGTTTTTGAGCAAATGAAGATTGAAAATGTTTATTAAAACTGGCTGGTGTCTAGTAATGAGAGGTTATAACACTTCGTTGTTTCGTGATTCATATCGAATTTGCATGTGCCATAGCACAAATCCACTTCCCTGTGCTTTGTTTAACATTTTTCATTTGAGGATTATCTCTCTTAGCAAACAAACATTTAAAATATCTGCAGTTTTTCAACCTTCTTTTGCACGGCCTGCCGCTAACATCGGCGACCCGTGGCGCCACCACGCGGATTTCAAACGAACTACTGTAATGGCGGTAGATGTTGAACGTACTTTCATTTCGAGCTTAACAATTATTCAACTACCTGGCCACTTGTGTTAACCACTAGACATCCTTTATTCACAAAACAAATGTGTAAAGAACGAGTCATTTATTTAATATCAATTCATTGATATTTCGCACCATTCCTTTAAACTCTTTTTCTTTACTTCTTGTTTTTAATACAGAAATACTTGAACTAGTGGAAGATCAACTTAAATTTTGGGAGAAAAAATCCTAAATATAAATAATTTGCCGTAAACTGCCGTTCGGAGCCGTGGGCCGATGTCTGTCGCTTCCAGAGCTTCCACCATTCGCCGTTGGCCACGGAGGGCGCTCTTGGCGGCTACCTTACTGACAGTTTTCATTTATTTTGCGTTGTATTTGAAAAGATTCTACTTATTTGTGTAATCTTACACCACTTAAGGCTCTGAAGAACCCACGGCAAAACTCTGTTTGGGTCTCACGCGTTTAGTTTTCACATAGTTGCATGCACCAAAATGTGGTTCCGCGCCTGCAGACTCGAGCCCGCAGACGACCGGCTCGGCGCGACCCTAGCGCCAAGTGTCCTCTCCTGGCGGCGATCGGCGGAAGCTCTGGAAGCGACAGACCTCGGCCCACGGGCAGCGGCAGCGTGCACTCCTCCCCTTTTCCTCTCAAGGGATGGGTGGGGGTTGTGAAGTTTGCCCAGAGCTAGAAGTCAGGGCGAAGGTTGTACTTATTTTACGTCTACGTCTGTCGAAGGACAGGCGTCCGTTGCTCAAGAGAAATGTCGGGTGTAAATACTGTTGTGATTGGTACGTTGGACCAATGCTGTTCTATCTTCTATGAAAATATCGGCTAGAAAATGTAGTAGATTAATTTTGTAGGTTATGTGTCTTTAGTTTCTGCTTTCATTAATGAATGCTGTGGCAGACAATCACTTTTTGCTTGCCCGGTTCATCATACGATGCTTAGTTTTTGAGTGCTGCCACCTGATTCAAACGAACGAACTTATAAATGAATTTACACGTTATGAAGATACAGATGCTATATTTTTGCTTCTTTTTGTAGCTGTCAATTCCACCTTCCCTTACAGGAGGGGGTACCGGCTTCATCGGCCGCGCTCTCGGAACGCTGCTCCACAAGAAAGGTTACCAGGTTATAAATATTTCTCGAATGCCCGGACCAATGAACATTGTGTGGGTATGTGATTTAGTTAAGATCACGCACTCCTGTGCAGAAAGTCCCTAAATTATTGTCTGACTCGCTACTAATCAGAGCCTCTCTTTTAAGGATGAACTTGAATACAGGGGTTTGCCCCCTTCAACTGCTGTTGTTAGTCTCGCAGGACAGAACATCTTGGACCCAAAGAGACGTTGGACACCTGGCTTCAAGCAGAATGTATGGAACAGTCGTGTCAACACAACAAGTTCCTTAGCTAAAGCTATTGCCAAGGCTCCTGAGAAACCAAAAGTATTTGTTTCCATTTCGGGTGTAGGTATGTCAGCAACAACGTAGACTAAAAATACATTTCCTTGACAAAATTTGATCATGAGTTGGCATTGCCTTGCACGCAGGTATCTATCCTCCAAGCTCGACTGCAGAATACACAGAGGACACTCCTACACAACCTACTGATTTCCTTTCTGAGCTGGCCATTGCATGGGAAGGTGCTGCCAAACTACCTCCTGAAGCTGGTGTGCGACAAGTTATCTTAAGATCAGGTCTGTCTAATTTCTGTCTAGATCAGAGACTTCACATGGAACAGTGCCACTTTCATTGTTGGTTCTCATATTTTCTCTTTGCAGGAGTTGTGCTTGGTCGTTTTGGTGGCATGGTGCAGCAGCTTTATTTGCCATTCTTTTTTGGTGTTGGCGGGCCTATTTCTCCAGGAACCCAATATTTACCATGGATTTATATTGATGATATAGCCAAGATGATTCAGTTTTCCATAGAAAATGAAAAGGTGTCTGGGGTTTTGAATGGTGTTGCTCCTCAGGTATGTGTCCTTCTAAATAATGTTTGAATAAATTTGATAAATATATAATTTTTATTTATACTGCATGCAATGTCATCAGGTGATAACAAATAAGGATTTTACATCTGCGTTTGCAAAAGCTATGTGGAGGCCTGCCTTAATTCCTGTTCCAAAGTTTGCATTAGACTTGGCTTTTGGCAGTGAACGAGCTAAAATTATGACTGAAGGTCAAAAAGTAATTCCAAAGAGAGCTTTGGAGTATGGCTTCAAGTACGACTATCCAGATATTGATTCTGCCTGTCGTAAATGTGCTAGACTTTTTGACGACTTTGGGTTGAAATAATGAAAGAATACCTAAGTCTTAGATGATATTTAATGGATAATGTAAGTAGATACACAATTTGCACAATATTGCTGAGAAATGGTCTGTTCTAAAATGAATTGTTGTGAAGCAACAGTAATTTTTAAAAATGATCACTTATAATGCTTTTGCATAGTTTATTTTTGAAGTGTTATATATGCTGTGATACAAATGTTTGATTCACTTATAAAATTGACTAACAAAACCATCAAATATTTAAACAATGATCTTTAGAACTTGATACTTTGTCCATTGTCTTTTCCCTGGAATTACTCTCCTTTTTCTTATAATAGGAGGCATACTTATTGACAGTTTTAGTTGGAGTGTAATCAATTTCCTAGCATAAATTTATAAAATACCTCCTCTGATAGTATGAACAGATAATTAGAGGTAGCGTGGCATCCCAAGATGTGAGAATCAGATTCCAACTGCACTAAATGTTGTTTGGCAACCTGTGCGACTCTTCTACCTGTTGTACGGTTACGCAATTCACTTTGCACAGCGGAAGGTTGCCGATACAAATACACATGCCTTGATGAGTCACAAATAGCAACATATGACATATCTGAAATTTATTATTAAAATTAAAAAGGAAAATGTAATTAACTGTTTAAAGAAAAAAAGATAATTTAAGTAGAGAGAGTTATTGTACCTGGTGGACAAACTGTGAATTTTCTCTGTTGTTTTGATGCCTGTACATATCCAAATGCTGAAAATGTGCCAACATGAGTAATGGGCCAAACATGAGAATCCCGATTCATTTCTTCAATTTGCCAGACACAAGCATCGACATCATGTCTCACGCAGATGGCAGGAGGGGACCCAGCTGACAATGTTGAATTGAACAACCACTGGTGTCCACCCAGATTGACCTAAAAAATTTTTGAAAGATGCAAATAAGGTGGGCAAGACTTGAGAGATTGAAAGCACATGTTGCAGAATGGGCAAAAAAAACTTACCTTGTGAGAAATACTATGATCTTTTGAATCTAGTCTAATCAGGACAGAAGTGTCCTTGGGGAAAGCATCACAGTCTTCTAACTGTTGGCTATTGTAAGCTGGTGCAACATCTATTTCAAAAGAACAAACAAACAAGAGTATTTACAATTTGACAGGTCTCCATTCCCTAGGTTCAATTTGATTTGATAATTTAAAGAATGTGTATGTTTAATACCATTTGTGCCAGTTTCCACAGTGTCTGAACATAAGTGAGCCAAGCGCTGATGTACTTCTTCCACAAGAGCTGGATCTAAAACTTGCTCTCCTTTCTGGCAACCAACAATCAACTCTGGCCACATTAATCCGGTCTCTACTTTGCTCAAAATAATTTCTAATCTTGTTAAAAGAAAGAATTGAATAGGTAAATTATCTTGAATTCAGAAGGAGAAACCTACAGTTCCCAATTATGTTTTTCTTTCTTTTTTTATCCAGAGAATTTTTGTTACTGTTTAATTAATTGTTACTTACTTTCCTGGTGACAGAGTCCAGCAGGTCAGATCTGAATCAATCCGTTGATGCAATGCACCCTCCAGAACAACATGACCTTGGATGGTTATTTTAACAGAGAGTGTGGTTACTATGACCTTAATGTCAGATTTTGAAACATCCGTGGCAACAGGAACCCACACAGTCAAATCATCATCTTTCTGAAGCCAAGAGTAAACTATCTGGGGTTTCACTGGAAGAAAACTCATAAAAATAATAATGTGCAATATCTTAATAGGAGACAGTCTATACCTTAAGTTATTTGGCTCACCTTTCGGTTCCTCATTATCTTCAATGATGCTGTTTTCAGAATCAGAGGTAAATTTCAATGCTTGATCGCTTGCAATGAACACAGCAGTGCAAGTAGGTTCAAAACTGGCAAACTCAATGCAGCCTCCTCCAACCATTTGGCGTAAAGACTTCACTCCCCAGGGCTGCTTGTTGAGCTCCCCTAAGCAGGATAAATTTTTAATATTGATGACATTTGAACAAAGTATTACCTCTTAATATAACGATTGATCAAATCAATAAGCATCCAACCAACCTTCCACAGTAATCCAATCAATTACAGACACAAACTTTGATTTCTTGCCCTCGGTTCCTTCTATGTCCAGCTCATCAATGTGAAGAAGCATGCAATGCAATTCACCACAGTAATATCGACTATCTAAGATGACAAATCCCTTGTTGTCTCCGATTGGTGAACAACTGAAGACTACCTACAAATAGGGGAATAGATAATCAAATAGAAATGAGTTTCATGTCATAATCAAACCAAATTGATAAAAAAAAAAATTGAACATGCAATAATTCTTACCCCCCATTTCCTTGCTCTGAAAGAACGATCTTGAGTGTCAACAATATGTAAAGTACCAGCTCCATCTGTTACAACAACCACATCAGGTGAAGCGAAAGCTAAATTTAAGTTGTAGTGTCCAGGCTGCCTCTCATGGTGACTTGGTACCTCCCAAACTTCGCAAAACTAAAGAACAGAAGGAAGAATATTAGTCACACTACATTAACTTCAAATGAAACAAGATGTGTTCTGAACTTACACTGTTAGTGTCAGGGTCAAAAGAATGAATCTTCCACTTAACATCAATGTAGTAAGTTGTCTCCGTCCACGGGTCAGTAAAAAGTTTATTGTGAGTTCCAAACAACTTTGTGTGAAGGAATGAATATTGGTCATCACTTGGAACAACAACATCAGGCTCTACAGACAAATTAAACAGCTTTCAGACAAATATCAACACAAAAAGCACTGCTTTAAAACATCAAATAATTGTGATCAAACCAGAGCATCAACAAACATAACCTAGTCAGACACTTACTTGACGGCAAAGACGAACGATGTGAATGTACGTTCTCTAATGACAACTTGTAGCCGTCAAACTGAGGATCAAGAAGTTTCTTGTCAGGTCTGAGTTCAACTAATATGCGAGCTTTGGCCATTTTTTTTTGCCACTTCAATGCAATCACTTGACACCTGCTTACTGTCTGCTGACGAAACCCAACCGCAACACAGGAAATAAACAACGCGCGGTACCAACGCGAAAAGACTTCGCAGCGAACGAACCACAGGGCAGGGCACGGGGCTAACCCCGAAGACCGCTTGCGCTCTTGCCATCGGTCCTCGTTCCGCGCACTTTTGCCTTGTCCGTTCGAACCCATCTATCTATGTCTCGTGTTTGGAGGTTTGACGCTCATGGACCACGAAGAAACTGCTCCATGTCCTATATGCAAAGGGCCAGATGAAGGGTAAAACTATCTGTTGGTTATGAATTACGTTTTTGTACAACTGCCTATGTCAAGCCCTCTCATTCTTCACGAATGTTCAGGTTTCAGATATCGTGTGATTCCTGCCTTAAATGGTACCATGGCAGGTGCGTGGGCCAACACAAGAAGAAAAACTCTATTTGGCATTGCCCTTTGTGCTGCGGATATTGGACGGGAGCACTCTCATTCCAGGAACGTGACATCACGTTGAAACGAACGTGACATGTCACGTTCGTTTGAGCATTGTGTCACATTCGTTTGGGTGTGAATTGGCCAAAAATCAGCTTGCTCACATTCAAACGAACGTGACACAACGCCCAAACGAATGTGACACTTTGTCACGTTCGTTTCAACGTGATGTCACATTCCTGGAAGTGAGTGTGGAGTCGGAAGAAGTACTGTCGATTGAGCACCTCCATCCACCCAAGCAGCGTTGTCAGGTTCCTCGCAGTTTGTAAGCTCAAACGGCTCTCTTGACACTCATGTCATGGATTCAAATAGAAGGGGACCAGAGGATTGTCCTCTGATCATTTTCACCAGAGGATGGTCATTATTTTTCGTTAAGATATTCCTCTATTCAGTTATGCTTTGCGATGAACACTTTTGTCCGAAATGTGCTGTTTTCTCTCTGATAATTATCTGAATTCATTTAAGTGACATGTAAGACTGCTGAGATTCGTATCAAGTACTCGGCACAAATCCTGCCTGATAATGTTGCTTGAGGATCTTTGCTTTTAAAATGTTACTTGTACCTGTGAGATTTATTAAAATTATTTCATTTAAAATTCCGGTTATTCTATTCATGTACTTGTGAGATTTATTAAAAATATTTCATAGCCCTTGAAATTTTTGTGTTTTTTCTTTCACCAGTCATATTTGCACAAATTAGTGCCGACAAAGAGGAAACCCAAACTTCAAAGAGTGAAGGGAATTTGTTGTCACTGCAGGTCAAGATACAGGCCGATTGCACTATGTCGTTCAGGATGATCATCATCATAAAGTGCTTCTCGAATAGGTTCAGTGATCTCAAACATTCGTAGTGTATGTACAAGCGCACAGAGCTTGTGGACCTTTTTCTGTCATAAGATTGCAGTTACTCAAAATAACCACACACTATCAAAAGAAGAAGGTTTGGACAGAAAATCTCTGCCCAATCCTTTTAAAAAGAGGTACAACCAATGACTCATCCCCGTAAAAGCTGTCCGCTGTCACCACGACGAAACCAAATTTTAATGCTGGAATCATGAATGATGTTTTTGATGTAAGGTTTACTGCGTTCCGCGTCGTGTGTCGTCTGCTCGACTCGGCGCAGAGACTTGGCAACAGCGCAAGCGGTCTTCGGGTTAGCCCCGTGCCCTGCCCTGTGGTTCGTTCACTTCGCAGCACAAATCTACAGGGAAAGAAAAGCAAAATAAACGAAGTTAAAGTCAAAATAAAAACTAGAAGGTCAGAATTGCATTTTTTCATAAGCCTCAGCAACGATTTTTTAGAGTCATGGCGCATAGTTGATCAGCATACGGAAAAATCAGTTGGACACCCTGTAAGCCCACTGGAACTGACTGGAACGCGCGATAAATATGAAACGCTTCGGGGACGGCACGATAGGGATGACGTTAGTACAGAATTTAGCAAGTTCGATTTCAACTCATCTCCTCTTTTCCGTGGTCTGTGGGCTGATGCTGTCAGTTGCTTCCAGGTAGCTCAGCAGGCTGATTCCCAAAAGTGTTTTCGTCGCTCTGCGTCTCTCACGTCTCGTACCCAAGGGAAGTCCCGAAGCCGTGCGAGCGAGGCAGCGCGACTAAACAGAGTTCGAAATCAGTCGGCAGACGTGAGTTGTGAGGTCGAAGGAAGCGAGTACTTTTAGTGGCCGGCCGGCGTGCACCCGGTACCGGGTACCCGCTCCGCGGGGGCCCGGCGTGGCGGCACACAGTGGGCCAGAAGACCGGTGGAGGTGGCCAAAACTCTAGACGCGTTTTTAGCTCCAGAGTCGCTAAACAGGCATCGAACCGAACGTGTGACCCCACCAGAGGATTCCTCGTTCGGAGAGCAATCCATTGGTGGGGTCACACGTTCAGTTCGAGTCCCATTTAGCGACTCTGGAGCTGAAAACGCGTCCAGAGTTTTGGCCGCCTACGCCGGCTTCTGGGCCCACTGTGCGGCACAGTGGCGCGGCGCGCGGCGGGCCCCGGAGTCTCAGCGGGCGCGGAGCTGCGCGGTGCGGCGGCGCGGGACGGCCCGCAAGGGAAGGAACGGAACGAGACGAGACGAGGGGGGCTGGCTGGCTGCTGGCTGGGGCTTTAGTGTACAAGCCGAAGCCGCCGCGAGAAGGTGCACGCCTGGCCGCACCGCGCCGCACCGCGCCAAGAGGCCTTGCCGCCGCCTCCTCCCTCGCTCGCCGCGCTGTCGACCGAAACGAAAGGTCCAAAACGTCGCGCGTGCAGTGAGCAAAACACAGGATAACCATGACATCGGAGGAGCCTCTTCGAATATCGCAGGTAGGGCGGCAAGCAGGCTGTGCCTTGGGCTGTGCGTCGAACGGTGTGGCCGGGGACGGTGTGAAATGTAGCCGCAGAGCCGCCAAGCCCTTCGACGATCGACGGTGAAGCCCTGCGACCTCCGGCCACCGCAAAGCTCGCACAGTCAGTGAAGGGCCTTGCATTACGTCAGCTGGAGCGGGCTGAGCGAGCTGGAGTCTGCAGCCGTCCACACGCCCACGCCGCGCCGCACCGCGCCGCGTGCCCCTGGCCTGGAGTCCTGGAGCAGAGTGGGCATCTGGAGCCAGGTTGGCTCGTTGGCTTGAAGGCCCTCTGGAGCCATGTAAAGCTTCAGCCTCCAAGGCGGGCCGGGCCGGGCCGCGCTGGCAGCCAGGTGCTGGCGTGGGCCGCGCGGCCTCATCGCAGCCTCTGCGTCCAGGCGGTCCAGGCCGACTGACACCACGGCGGCGACCACCTCGAGCTGCTCGGGGGCGTTGGCATAGGTCGCGCCGCCGCCGCCGAGAGGTGTGCCAACCCCCGGGACCCGGGCCAGCGTCTTCGATGTCTTCGACGGCCTGTTCGTGGTGGGAATTCGCAATGGGCAGAGACAAGGCAGCACCTTGTGCGGTGGTGCGGGCGGGGCGGGGCCGGGCGGGGCCGGGCTGTGTGTGGGGCGTACCGAGACCGAGGCCCCGCAGGTTGACATTGAGTACCGAGCCGGGGCCTCCGGGCCAGCATCGCCAGCATCGCCAGCGGCACAGTGGGCCAGAAACCGGCGGAGGCGGCCAAAACTCTAGACGCGTTTTGAGCTCCAGAGTCGCTAAATGGGACTCGAACCGAACGCGTGACCCCACCGATGGATTGCTCTCCGAACGAGGAATCCATTGGTGGGGTCACACGTTCGGTTCGAGTCCCATTTAGCGACTCTGGAGCTCAAAACGCGTCTAGAGTTTTGGCTTCTGGCCCACTGTGCATGGCCAGCATTGCCAACGTGCATGGCAGCAGGTGGCCGTCATTGCCGCCATCTGACGGCCGGGCGGACCGAGGGGCGGACGGGTTCAGTGTTCGGCAACCGCGTCGCCAAAAACGCGAAGCGGCATGGGCATGAATGGCAGAGGAATTGCACAAGTTCAACACCGGTCTGGCCGCTGTCGGCCAGTCCATAAAGATGCCATGAGCCGTAGCCATGTTTTCGAAAATTCGGAAGAAGCGTTCGTGCACGGACCGTGGCGGGAGTCGAACAACGGAACCGCGGTGTCGCGACGACATGCCGCCACCCATAGCCCGAGCAGACATGCACTCTGAAAAATTCACGACCCGAACGAGCCAGACGAAAAAGTCATAAAATCCTCGAAATCACTCTCCTCGGCGTCGTCCCCGCCGGTGCGTGGTGGTGGGGCAGGAGAAGAAGGGGGTGACCTTGAAGCACGGCGCCGCCTGGGAGTGGGGGGGGGGCATGGATGCGCGAGTACGGCACGGCACAACAGATGGTGCGCGACGAGCGTCCCTGTCAAAGTCCATTCAAACGCCTGGGCGCTTTGGCGCTCTCGGCTTTCGGCTGTGATGGGTGATTCCAAAAACTGCCAGCAGTGCTGGCGCGTCGCGTCGCGTCCGTCCGCACAGTGGGCCAGAAGACCGGTAGGCGGCCAAAATTCTAGACGCGTTCTGAGCTCCAAAGTCGCTGAACAGGACTCGAACCGAACGTGTGACCCCACCAATGGATTGCTCTCCGAACGAGGAATCCATTGGTGGGGTCACACGCTCGGTTCGAGTCCTGTTCAGCGACTTTGGAGCTCAGAACGCGTCTAGAATTTTGCCCGCCTGCACCGGTCTTCCGGCCCACTGTGGTCCGTTTGTGCAGAGTGTCAAGCACTCCGCAGCGCCACGCCCCTCGACCGCCAGCGCCGTCCGCACCGGAAGCTGATTCAGACCTGATGCAGACTGATTCCGAGAGTCGTTTTCGTCGCTCTGTCTCTCGCGCACCCATGTGGGTGCGATAGAGACAGAGCGACGAAAATGACTCTCGGAATCATTCTGCTGGGCTGGTCAGCCACGCGGCCGGTCTGATCGTCGCCCAGTCACTCTCGCACTGTTCGGAATCAGCCCGGTTGCTGACGACGACTGCCCTGCGTTCAAGTCCCCGGCGACTCAAAGCGTCCGCGCCCTTTCCCTCTCTTGGTTTTGTTTTTATTGGACGGGATGGCTAGGGGGTCGCGGGCTTACCCAATCAGGCGGCTCAGCCTTGATTCCGCGTCAATAAAGATGAAGATGAGATCCATACAATGGCCCTGGTGCCCCGCCCCGACCCTCCAGGACGCCGTCGGCGGCCGCCGGTCAGACCGCCGGCCAGACCGCCGGCCCGGTCCGAGACCGACGCAACGACGCAACGCGACGGACGCGATGGCCCGGGGCGATGCTCGCGCGGAGAGGAGAGGCTCGCGCCGGCCGTCGTTGCATAACCGGGAGTACCCGCCCGCCACCCGCCCCGCCGGTGACGAGCGACGAGCCGGAGGAAACAACACATTGTAGTACCTCGAGTGTCGCGCACAGAGCCTCGCTCCTTCTGTGTGATGCGTGGAGCGTCGCGGCGCTGACCCAGATCGCGGAATGCGAGGGGGAGAGGGGGGGGGGGCGTCGCGGTGGTGGCGGCGGCGTCGCAACCGAGCGGCGCGACCTGACAATATGTCATGAACTCTGGGTCACTTACTTCACGCCCCCCTCGAGCACCTCGAGCGGGCGCGGCGCAGCGCTCCAGGATCGCGGCGAGGGGAGGAAGGGGACGGGAGACAAAGACAGCGACTGCCGTCGCCGCCGTCGCCCCAGCCCGCGCCGCCGCGGCCCCAGTGGGCCCACCGCGGTCCCACTCCGCTGTCGGCCTGTCGGGCCGCGCCGCTCGGGCCGGCCCCTCGTTGCATAACCCTCCAACCCAACGCACACTTCCTTGCACATGTTCGACCGGCTGGCTGCCGCCACAGTCGCTACTGCCGCTACAGGAGGGTCGCTAGCCGCTACCGCCGCCACCGCCGCGTGGCCCGATCCCCCAAACGGGGCCGCTGGACACTGGACGGCCTACATGCCCAAGGGGCAGGCCAAAAAATTATTAACGGATGTCCCCCCCCTGGACACTGGACCGGGCGCGGCGGACCGGGCGGACCCCCCGCGGGGCCAGGACCGCCAGGAAGGCGCTAATCGAAGGGTCAATTCGTTTTCAATTGGAGCGAGCAGAAATGAAGGCGGCCGCGAGTCCGCGCGCGCGAGGGGTCAAACGTACTTGCACCACTCCATGTAGGGGCCCGGCGAGGCCGACCCCGACGGCAGGAGGTCGCAAGCGGTATTTCCACCGGCCGGAAAAAAATAAATTATCCCGCCGCAGCTCTCCGAACGCTGAGACACTTTTTCGGCGTTCTCGGATGGAGGCCATGGCGGAGCCGTATCGCGTGAGGATGAATGGAATGGAGGTCCCGAAGGCCCCGAAGGCCCCCAGCCCGATCCGACGCCCACGACGAACGCCTTGTGCCGCCATGTGCGGCGGCACGCGCGCCCGGGATATTGTTCCTGGGGCACGCGGACAGACCAGAGTGGATTGACAGAGTGGCTGCCAGCCCTGACTGTGGAGCAAGGCTGGCTGAGGCTGGCTGGCTGGCTGGGGCCGGCTGCCTGAGTTACTGGTGGGAACCTCGCGGTTTTACGCCGCGTCCCGTCGCTATCGCCGGACCGGTCGCGGCGTCGCCGTGGCGTCGCTTCAGACAGCTAGTCCCGTCCATCAAGTCCATCGGCGGGACGTCATCGGCACGTGGCTCGCCGGCCACCTGTCCTGGCGGTCCGCGCACGGCGCGCACAGTGGGCCAGGAGACCGGTGGAGGCGGCCAAAACTCTAGACGCGTTTTGACCTCCAGAGTCGCTGAACCCAAAGTGTGACCCCACCAATGGATTCCTCGTTCGGAGAGCAACCCATTCATGGGGTCACACGTTCGGTTCGAGTCCCACTCAGCGACTCTGGAGGTCAGAACGCGTTTAGAGTTTTCGCCGCCTCCACCGGTCCTCTGACCCACTGTGTGGCGGCCGCCTTCCGAACAGTGTTTCGGAAGCAGCCCGGAGCGCTCTTGACCGCGGAGCGCGGGTTCGACTCCCGGCGCTGCCGCTCGAAATGGACGGCCGTAAAACGAAACGCGTTTGGCCGGCATTCGAGTTTATTTTCTTCTGTATTGCCTCATCGAGCCGCGCGGCTGATCCCTGCGGCGTTTCTCCAGCGAGCCGAGCCAAGCCAAAGCCGAGCCAAAGCCGAGCGCGGCCCGGCGCATCGCAAGGACAGGGACGGGACTCGCAGCCCTGCGGAGCCTGCCTGCGGCCTGCGGCCCGAACGCGGTGAAGCGGGGCGGGGCGGGGCGGGGCGCCGCGGCGTACCTGGAAAGCCATGCTCATTGTCTCTGCCGCGCTTACTCCCACTCTGGCCACGCACGGCGCCAGCCCCGCCCCGCCCCGCCCTGGCGCCGCAAAAGGCGATGCAGAGCACGACCGCGAGCGGGGCCGCGGGGACGCGCGCCTCCACCATGTAGGGCTCGGCGGAAACTGCAGTGGCGGCCACCGCGAGGGTGCGCGATGCGATGCAGCCCGCGGCCCCGCGGCGTCGTCCTCTGTCCTTGCCTCCCTGCTGCCAGCACCGGGTTGCTGACCCGCGCTCGGCGGGGCGGGGCGGGGCGGGGCGGGGCGGGGCGGGGCGGCAGGCCGTCAGGCGTTGGCCAACAGGTTCCTGCACATCAGCATGCCGAGTCGGCTGAGGCGGCTGAGGCCGGGGACCAATGTAACGACGACCTGGGCGCCGCGCCTAGCCGCGCCACGCCGCGGCCGCCGGGGCTGGCCGGGCTCGGACGGGTCACGACCCGCGGCCCGCCTATGACGTGCCGGACAAACGCAGCACGCAGCACGCAGTCGGGAACGAGTAAACGGAAAAGGGCCAAGGCCGCGCACCGCGCTCCGCGTGTCGTTGAAGGGCGTGGCGGCGGTGGCAGTGCGATGAATTGCCGTCGGTGCGGCAAAAGGGACGCCCTTCTCGTGACCGCGGCGCCGCGGCGCACAGTGGGCCGGAAACCGGTGGAGGCGGCCGAAATTCTAGACGCGTTTTGAGCTCCAGAGTCGCTGATCAGGACTCGAACCGAACGTGTGACCCCACCAATGGATAGCTCTCCGAACGAGGAATCCATTGGTGGGGTATCACGCGTTCTGTTCGAGTTCCATTTAGCGGCGCTGTAGCTCAAAACGCGTTTAGAGTTTGGGCCGCCTCCATGGGTCTTCTAGCCCACTGTGCGGCGGTGGCGGTCAAAACGCAGGGCGGCCAGCTCACTGTCTGTTGGAAAACAGCATTGTTTTGTTGGTTCTAGCCCACCGCCGCCCCACCAGTGCCGGGCGTCTTGCCACGCGTCGGGGGCGCGGGCCGGCGCGGGCGGCAAGACCAAAGAGAGTGAACAAATTTGAATTGCAATCGGGCCGGGACTGGTTCGTTGTGAACAGTGTGCGGCGCGGCGGTGCACTCTACAGTGCAGTGCGCTGCGTGCCGCGCGGCCCTGTCGGGGCCCTGTCCGCGGCGGGGCGGCGGAGCAACGCCTCCGGTATCCGGTCCCTGGCAGTCCCTGGCAGTCCCTGGCAGTCCCTGGCAGTCCCTGGCAGTCCCTGGCAGTCCCTGGCAGTCCCTGGCAGTCCCTGGCAGTCCCTGGCAGTCCCTGGCAGTCCCTGGCAGTCCCTGGCAGTCCCTGGCAGTCCCTGGCAGTCCCTGGCAGTCCCTGGCAGTCCCTGGCAGTCCCTGGCAGTCCCTGGTCCTGGTCTGCACGCCGGCCTGCACTGCCCGCCGAGCAGGCTCGGCTGGGCGGGGTCGTCGGTTTGTGAAGTTCACCGACGCAACGCCCTGCATTGCAATGCCCTACACTGCGACGCACAGTAGGCCACATGTGGAGGGGGCCAAACCTCTAGACGCGTTTTGAGCTCCGGAGTCGCTAAATGGGACCCAACGGAACATGTGACCCCACCAATGGATTGCTCTCCTAACGAGGAATCGATTGGTGGGGTCACACGTTCGGTTCGAGTCATGTTTAGCGACTCAGGTGCTCAAAACGCGTGGGGAGTTTTGGCCGCCTCTACCGGTCTTCTTGCGACGCATCGCGCCTGCACTCGTCATTTCCACTAGAAGAGCCGCTCGCTCGCCGCATGGACACGTGTGGAGGCACCAGTGGACGCCAGACGAAAATGCAATTTCCACACTCGCCGAGCGAGCAGGCAATTCCCCGGGCGGGGCGGGGCGGGGCGGGGCGGGGCCCAGAGACATGTAGAGCATGGATGCACGCTTTGCGGTCTGAGAGGCCCCCGTCTCGCACAACCAGGCCGCCTCGATTCCACGCTAAACTGCTTGGAACTACGACGTGAGCCTCGCTGCGCGGCTGTGCGTCATGGAAGATCTAGACGAAACAGAGAGCCACGGCACTCTTGCTTTGTTTTCCACAGGAACCCCTTCATCGCACAGTGGGCCAGAAGACCGGCGGAGGCGGCTAAAACTCTAGATGCGTTTTGAGCTCCAGAGTCGCTAAACAGGATTCGAACCGAACGTGTGACCCCACCAATGGATTCCTCGATCGGAGAGGAATCCATTGGTGGGGTCACACGTTCGGTTCGAGTCCCATTTAGCGACTCTGGAGCTCAAAACGCGTCTAGAGTTTTGTCCGCCTCCACCGGTCTCCTGGCCCACTGTGCACCGTCGGCGAGTGCGGTGCAACTGATGTGGCTTCTTGTTGCAGGTGGGGCTGGCGGCGCGCTCCCCCGAGGGCCATGCGGCCAAGGGCATGGCCATCAAGGGCCACGAGGACCTCTGGGTGGAGATCCAGGCACACACGTTCCGCAACTGGGTCAACGAGAACCTGCGCGGCGCGGGCATGGCCGTCGCCGACCTGGCGCAGGACTTCCAGGACGGCACCAAGCTGTGCGCGCTGGTGGAGGCGCTGCAGAAGCGGCCGCTGCGGGGCTGGGTGCGGCGGCCGGGCAACCGCCACCAGCACCTCGAGAACGTGTCCTGCGCGCTCAAGGCGGTCGAGGCGGACGGCGTCAAGCTCGTCAATATTGGTGAGTCCTTTTATCACCTCGGCCACGCTCCGCCTTGCTCCGCCACTGGTCACGCGGTGGCGCACCGCCTCGCGCACCGCGGCGCGAACAGCCCGTCCACGACAGGCACGTAAAAAGTTCAAAACGAAAAATTCTAGAAAATAGGGCCAGTTGGGGTAATTATGGGACACGGGGTAAAAATGGGACAGCTGATTCTTAGTCAAGATTTGACATTTTTGAACGCATGACAAGTTCTAAAATTTCGATTCTTGACTAAGAATTAGCTGTCCCATTTTTACCCCGTGTCCCATAATTACCCCAACTGACCCTACATTATTAGTGTTGCCTATGTTGTGTTACGTGTTACTATCACCTACAAGGCGTTCGTAAGGGCTGTTCTCGTGTTGTTACAGTAAAGGCTTACTTTGGTACTTAAACAATACGGTAACGCGCTGCAAGGTTTTGGGTGACGATAACATCAGTGAGGCCTCCTGCCAATCTGAGCTGGCTGATTCAGAAACCGTGTGCCTCGAATTCTTTTTCTGCCGCTACACTCTAAATGTAGGGTGTCCAGAAACTGGGCGCCTTTGTTGTCTGCCCCACTTTTTAGGGTGCCAAATGTCACCCAGTTTCTGGGCACCTTTGTCGCCTAGTCCGGGCTGGACAAACCATTACGGAACCTGCCTTTACCCATGGCTCAGCAGCGACTAAGGTGCCAAAGGTGCCCAGATTCTGGGCACCCCAGAGTGTAGTCAATCACATAAACCGCGACCGTCCCGAGTCGCGAGGAGCGCCCTTGGCGGCCCGGTGCTGCGCCCCGCCACGCCCGGGTAGGGGTCCTGCAGACTGATTCCGAGAGTCGTTTTCGTCGCGCTGTCTCTCACACACCTTTACGGGACCCCCCATGAGTGCGAGAGAGACAGAGCGACGAAAGCGACTCTCGGAATCAGTCTGCTGGGGTTGCTGCAGGCTGCAGGGCCCGGAAGACCGCGGCCGGCACTCCGCATTGCCTCGGTGTTGCAATCCTGTTTGCTTTGCGCTGTGCCGCTGGGCCGGGCCGACGGGCCGACCGAGGCGTGGCGGGGAGCCGAGTCGACCGGGCTGCTAAGCCTGAGCCGCGGAGCCCCGCCGATCGGCCGCCGTGGACTCGACTCGCGTGTTGCAACGGCCACGCTGCACCCGCGCGCCGTACCGTACCGAGTCCAGCCTGGGCTGTAGCCTGCAGTGCAGTGAGCAGGTAGGCAGCCAGGCAGCACGGCAGCCCGCGCCTGGTCGCCTGACGACCCGTCACGTGCTGGTGTATCATCGACATGGCGGGGCGGGCCCGAAAGGCAGACGATCACTTGTGGTCCAGCCGTTAATCGCAATCGCAATTGCATGGCGGGTAGGCAGGCCCGTTACACGCGCCTGTTCGGCGGGCCGGCCTCGCGCGCGTCGCAGGCTGAATCCGAACGGTCACAGTGGATTTGCCAGAAGACCGGCGGAGGCGGCCAAAACTCCCGACGCGTTTTGAGCACCTGAGTCGCTAAACATGACTCGAACCGAACGAGTGACCCCACCAATGGATTCCTCGTTCGAAGAGCAATCCATTGGTGGGGTCACACGTTTGATTCGAGTCCCATTTCGCGACTCGGAGGTCAAAACGCGCCTTGAGTTTTGGGCCGCCTCCACCGGTCTTCTGGCCCACTGTGCGTCGCTCTGTCCCGCTCGCACTCGGGGCGTGCCGCAGGGGTGCGAGAGAGACAGAGCGGCGAACCGGCGGACTGCAGTGCAGCAGTGTGGGTCTCGCTCGGCTGCGCGGTGCGCGCGGCGCGGGGTCGTCTCGGGCCGGCAATGGACGCGTCTGGGCGCCCCGCTCGGCCCTGCCATGCCACCGCCGCCGTCAAAGCTAGCGCGCAAGCCTCGCGCGCGCAGCCGGCCGTGCCCGCGGCGTCGCGCCCGCCGTGTCGCGTCGCGTCCGCCGTCGCGCTGCAGTGGACGCCGCGGCGACGCGACGGCGCGGAAACGCGCTGCCTAACTAGCCTCGCGTAATGAACAAGCTGCAGACAAAAAACCGGCAGCAAAACATGCAGCGAGGAATGACGAGCGACAGGCGATAAACCGAGCTATAGCTGTTCCGCTGGATCGTCTGTGACACTCTTGAGAGGCTCTGTTATGCCTTTTGGACGGTCTATGATTTTCGCGAGATTTGCCGCAGTTGTTGTTGATGTCCGGCTGGCATGTGTCCCAATGCCCCGACGACGGCCCGAAAATGACGTGCCCCCCAAACGGCTGGAACGCAACGCCGCCCTCGACGTCGAGGCGCGACACACGAGTCGTGAAAGGTCACTGAAGAACTTTGCAAGGCAGCAAGGCTGATGCTTCCGAAAGCGTCTGTTTTCGTCGCCCTGTCTCTGTCGCCCTTCCGGGGCGTTCCGTGCGGGTGCGAGAGAGACAGAGCGACGAGCTGCTGCTGCTGTTCGGAATCAGACTGCTGCTATGCTGCTGTCCCAATGCGGTACGGCGGCGGGACGGGGCGGAGGGGAGGGGGAAGTCCGATGAATGGACCGCAGTGGGCCGAGGCATGGTCACGGAGGGGGAGAGGGGGGGGGGAGTGTCCACACACCTGTCGCGGTCCTTGGAAGCGCAGCAGAGCAGACTGCCAGCGCTTCCTTCCGGTGGGGCAGGGCAGGGCAGCGCGGGCAGCGCGGGCAGCGCGGGCAGGGCCAAGGGCGCGGGGTCCGTCCGGAAGCCTTCACTTGGTAAACCTGCACAGTACACTGGTAGAACTAAAGCGTAGTTGTGCGCTTCATTCAAGCGCTTCTTGAAACGTACAACTACGCTTCAAGGCAATTTCGCCGTGCATTTAGATAGGAAGAAAGGAGCGCATGAACTCTTGTACGCTTGAAGAAGGGCGTACTGGCTGTACGCTTCACGAAGGGCGTAATAGTACGCCTTAGTTTTACCAGTGTACTCTGCGCTCGTTTTCATCCCCGCAGTCCTCTAACATTTACCAGGTGGGCCAGAAACCCCGAGTCGAAATGAGACCCTGCACCATTCTCCTGTGCGAGCCCATCTTGGCCGTGCCAGAGCTAGGCGTGTTTGTTTCGTACTCCGGGTTTTGCTCCACAGCAAACTGTGATGGCATTAAGTCAGTCCGCATTTGGTATCGATCGATGAGGTTCCTGTTCGGCCCCTCCGGCCTGAGAGGAGCAGTGTGTGGCGGGACTGCGTACTTTTCATTTTGTCTCGGGGTTCCTGACCCACTTGGTACATTAGAAACAAATAGGCGAGAGTAGTAGATTATGCCTCGCCCAAAAGGCAATCTCTCGGTACTCTCCTGTGTTTGATATTTCGAGTCCTATGGGAGGACTAGCGCCCGAATCTCTGCGTCTGTTCTCCTGCCGGCTCGCTGTGGGAGGAAGTCGAGACCCCTGCCGGAGTCTAAGGCGGCCGCGAGGGAGGGGGGCTTTGCTTCCTGTGCTCCACGTACCTCGTCCACACGTCCGTGACGGCCGGCGTCGTGAACCACTTCTTCACGGGAAAAAATAAACAAATAAAACAAAATGCTAGATACGGGGAATAGTCAAAGTACGAGAGTGTGTCGATTTTTGCGGAGTCGGCCTTTTCAGGACTCTGTCGTTGAAGGGGGTGGGAAAATTGGAGGACACTTTGACGTCAAGGCGGACAAGTGGGGCTTGTGCCTGAAACCAAACAGCGAATAGACGAGCGTAGTCGCTCTGTACCTTAGTCCAGGCAAACATTACAAAATAACGGGATTTTCCGGACAAAATTGCTAACAAGCTGCAATTTTGGGATTCGATAGAGTTCATATTGTAGAATAACATACCAAAAATCCCAAAACTTTTATCGACCACATTGGCCGCAATCAGCGTTCAATGTTCAAAATTTACACTTTTCGAACGGCGGCTATAACTTTTTACCTATTTGTCCTATTTCACTGCGGTTTCGCTCGTTCAATGCAGCTTTGAACGCTCTTGAACTAATATAAAGACATGTTTCGTCGTCAGACTAGAACTATCCACGCTAGAAGGCACAAACTGTCTAAAACGGGATTTGGGTCAAGCTGCAATTTTGGTCTTTCGTATTTTGTGGCGAAATGAGGCAGCGATTCTTAAAGTACCCTTTTACAACTCGTGTAGATCGTTCTATTGCGCACAAGAAAGGTCATTACGCATTTCGGACTACGACGTACGGTTTAAGTCCTACGGGGACGGAAGCGGCGCGCCACGGCGCTCTGCGGGCGGCCCGGGCGCCTTGCTGCGCGCCGCTCCACGTAGCTCAACGCGACCGCCCAAAGTGACACATTTGGCGTCGCAGTGAAGGAAACCGAAGCCAGTTAGAACAGAATGGTGAACGGGATCGAGCGGGATATTGTTCTACAGCGCCGTCGCTTTCATTGTCTCTTCCGGAAAAGTTATGCCAAGCTCCGTTCAGCGGGATATGCGCCTCAAAGTCGGTGCGATGGCGCGTTTGTGTCACTTTGGGCGAATTCTTCACATTTTCGGCTGACTTCGCAGCGAACTTGCAAGTCAACTGTTCGAGCTAAAGTTACGCTCGAAGTATTTTTAGAAAGGTGGGATGACAGAGAATACTACCACGAGGGTAAACGAGCATTTGCTAACTTTTATTCCATGCACGACTTCGGCAAAAGTGCTAGTTTTAGCTATTTACTAAGAAATTTGATATTTTTCGCGAAGAGGTGCAAGGAAACAGACGAAATTTAACCTAATTGGTCAACAGGAGCCCATTTCTCTTCAGTTTCTCTTTCCAAATATGTATTGTGAATTACGACAGTCTCCTTAGTTTGTCTCGAATGCTTCTTTGAAGTTGAAGAAAATTGCCATTTCCCTAAAATAATTGTCAAAACTCACACATCGCACCTCGCATTGCTGATATAACAACGTAGTCCCAGAAGAAATTGAACCGGGACTGTGTTTGACGTCCGTCATATTATAAAAAAGACTCTCGAAATTAGTCACAACTACCTTAGTTTGTCGAGGAAAGTACCCCAAAGATGGAAGAAATGAGTCAACCACATGATTGAATTGCTAAAACTAGCGCTTTTGCCGAAGTCGTGCACGGAATAAAAGTTAGCAAATGCTCGTTTACCCTCGTGGTAGTATTCTCTGTCATCCCACCTTTCTAAAAATACTTCGAGCGTAACTTTAGCTCGAACAGTTGACTTGCAAGTTCGCTGCGAAGTCAGCCGAAAATGTGAAGAATTCGCCCAAAGTGACACAAACGCGCCATCGCACCGACTTTGAGGCGCATATCCCGCTGAACGGAGCTTGGCATAACTTTTCCGGAAGAGACAATGAAAGCGACGGCGCTGTAGAACAATATCCCGTTCACCATTCTGTTCTAACTGGCTTCGGTTTCCTTCACTGCGACGCCAAATGTGTCACTTTGGGCGGTCGCGGCGAGCTACGTGGAGCGGCGCGCAGCAAGGCGCCCGGGCCGCCCGCAGAGCGCCGTGGCGCGCCGCTTCCGTCCCCGTAGGACTTAAACCGTACGTCGTAGCCCGAAATGCGTAATGACCTTTCTTGTGCGCAATAGAACGATCTACACGAGTTGTAAAAGGGTACTTTAAGAATCGCTGCCTCATTTCGCCACAAAATACGAAAAACCAAAATTGCAGCTTGACCCAAATCCCGTTTTTGACAGTTTGTGCCTTCTAGCGTGGATAGTTCTAGTCTGACGACGAAACACGTCTTTATATTAGTTCAAGAGCGTTCAATGCTGCATTGAACGAGCGAAACCGCAGTGAAATCGGACAAATAGGTAAAAAGTTATAGCCGCCGTTCGAAAAGTGTAAATTTTGAACATTGAACGCTGATTGCGGCCAATGTGGTCGATAAAAGTTTTGGGATTTTTGGTATGTTATTCTACAATATGAACTCTATCGAATCCCAAAATTGCAGCTTGTTAGCAATTTTGTCCACCACGAATGTAATGTTTGCCTGGACTACCTGCCTGCATGCGAGCCGCTCGCGTGTGCACAGATCAACGACTGTGTGCGTGCGCGGTCCGCGGCGAATGGGCAGATGGTTTTAGGAAGCGCGTGGGACGTCGGTCGACGTGTCGGTCGACGTGGAGCCCCTCCCTGGAGTGGAGTGCCGCCACCGCGATTCGTGTACATTGGGCCAGAAGACCGGTGGAGGCCGTCAAAACGCTAGACGCGTTTTGAGCTCCAGAGTCGCGAAAAGGGACTCGAATCGAACGTGTGACCCCACCAATGGATTGCTCTCCGAACGAGGGATCCATTGGTGGGGTCACACGTTCGGTTCGAGTCCTGGTTAGCCACTCTGGAGCTCGAAACGCGTCCAGAGTTTTGGCCGCCTGCGCCGGTCGTCTGGTCCACAGTGCGGTGGGTCTGCTGTGCAGTACAAATACCACTCTGGCCGGAATGTGCCGCGGCCGGGTTTGTGGCCTGGGGTTTGGGGGGTTTGAACCCAGAAACCAAACAGAGGCCGCCGCGGTGAGTCAGGCCGAGTCAGGCGGCGTGGCCCTGCACAGTGGGCCAGAAGACCGATGGAGGCGGCCAAAACTCTAGACGCGTTTTGCGCTCCAGAGTCGCTAAATGGGACTCGAACCGAACGTGTGACCCCACCAATGGACTGCTCTCCGAACGAGGAATCCATTGGTGGGGTCACACGTTCGGTTCGAGTCCTGTTTCGCGACTCTGGAGCTCAAAACGCGTCTAGAGTTTTGGCCGCCTCCACCGGTCTTCTGGCCAACTGTGCCCGGTGCGGTAAACGCTTCCTGGGACTCGTGGACGGACGTGTCCCGCGAAGAATGGACCGCGTGTGAAATGGCGAAATTGCCGCCGACAATGTTCAATGTTCCGGCATTCCCCTCCGCCTCGCTCGACTCCCGACGACGCTGACGCTCGCTCCCTGTTCCAGGAAACGTGGACATCGTGAACGGCAACCTCAAGCTCATCCTCGGCCTCATCTGGTCCCTCATCGTCCGCTACCAGATCGGCCGCTCCAAGTTCCCGCCCAAGAAACTCATGCTGGCGTGGCTCCGGGTAAGTCAGTCTTTACGGAGGTTCGAGTTGAGGGCTTCGGGGTTCAGAACGACCGCCAGTTGGAAGCGCGGAGGAGAGTGGGCGGGTAGGTGCACTGTACCGGACGGGGCGGCCCGGCCGGGTCAAGATCACGGCCACGCCATACCTCGGGCCCCGCACGCAGCACAGCACGCACGCAGGGAGCGACGCCGTCCCAAGTCAGCGCGGGCCGCGCATGCTGCACGCTGCGGCGTGTTTCGGCGCGCTGCTCCACTCCACAGTGGGCCAGAAGACCAGTGGCGGCGGACAAAACTCCCGACGCGTTTTGAGTTCCAGAGTCGCTAAACAGGACTCGAACCGAACGTGTGACCCCACCAATGGATTCCTCGTTCGGAGAGCGATCCATTGGTGGGGTCACACGTTCGCTTCGAGTCCCATTTAGCGACTCTGGAGCTCAAGGCGTCTAGAGTTTTGGCCGCCTCCATCGGCCTTCTGGTTTACTGTACTCCGCCCCACACTGTGTGGCCTCCCCGCTGCCGGCTCCCCACGCCGCCGAATTCACCGCTGCTGCTGCTTTTTCCGCTTCCCCGTTACAATAACGCGCCCTTCGTGGCCACCGAGTGCAGTGCAGTGCAGCGCAGTGCAGCGCAGTGCAGCGCAGTGCAGCGCAGTGCAGCGCCGGGCTGCCGTGCGTTGTGTGCGCTGCCGGCGCTGCCTAAACGGCCGGCACGCCGCGCCGTTTCGAATCGCGCTCTGCCCGCCGAATGGCTCGTTAGAACGGGCAGGGTGGTTTGATTCTCCCGTCGCTGTCTCTCTCGCAGCGCTGTGGAACGCCGCACAGGTGCGAGAGAGACAGACAGAGGGCGCCGCTCGGAATCGAGCTGCAGTGCTAGGCCGCTAGGCCCACCGCCGCCGCCTGGCGGGGCCTGGCAGGACCTGGCGGTCGCGGTCGGTTCGGTTCCCACGCCGCGCATCTCCCCGACCCTTCATCGCTCTGTCTCTCTCGCACCCCTACGGGGCGCCCCATGGGTGCGAGAGAGACGGAGCGACGAGTGGCGTCTCCGGCATGAGCCTGCAGACACATCACATCGCCGCTCCCGCGCCATTTTGCTTTTCAACTTTCTGTGGGCACTAATGAGCTCTGCGCGGAGCACTGCGGCAAAGCTCAAGGAGAAAATGGCCAATGGGCGTGCGAGGGCGTTGCGGCCCGCGTACCGCGTGCCGCGGCGTGGAGGGGTGGGCCGGGCCTTGGGCCGGCCGGCGCCCTGTTGGACGCATTCCAGGCTCCAGGCCGCTCCAGGCTCCAGGGGACTTCCTGGAATCCCCTGGACCGTCCGGCCCGGCGGCGTCCGCGCGCACATCCCAGTGTCGTGCACTTACGTCCACCCAGGTCCTCCCCGCATGCTGCAGGCACACGGGCTCGAAAAACGCTCGGGTTCCTGCGAGAGGAACGTCCCCTTGACCCCGCCACGCGAAAAGTGAACAACCCTCGGCGGGACTCGAACCCGGGTCCCGGCCGTCACTGTCACGATGATGCATGCCGGCGAGGCGGACTGATGGCGAGTCGTTCGGGAAGTAATTCGCTCGAGTCGACAAGGCGCAACGCGCAGCAGGCTGGCCGTTTCCGAACAGGGCTTTCGTCGCTCTGTCTCTCTCGCACTCGCACGGCGTCCCGTTGGGGTGCGAGAGAGACGGAGCGCACGAGGCGACAGCGCGGCCCAACAAACGCGGCAGGTATGCTAAGCGCGGCTGTGGGAGTGGAGCCGTGGGCCGGACTGGCCGGCATGGCACGGGGCGGATGGGGCCAGCCCAGCCCTGCCCTGCCCGCCAGGACGCACAGTGGGCCAGAAGACCGGTGCAGGAGGTCAAAACTCTAGACGCGTTTTGAGCTCCAGAGTCGCTAAACGGGACTCGAACCGAACGTGTGACCCCACGTATCGATACCTCTCCAAACGGAATCCATTGGTGAGGTCACACGTTCGGTTCGAGTCCTCCTCAGCGACTCTGGGGCTCAAAAGTGCCTAGAGTTTTGACCACTCCCACCGGTCTTCTGGCCCACTGTGAGACGACCGCGCGGGGGGGGGGGGGGGGGTCGCTGGAATGAAAGAACAAATGTCGCGGCCGGGGCGCCGAGATGCTCATGACAGCCGTCGCGGCGTACACAGCGGCGCGACAATGGAGACGTCAACATGCCAACCAACGTGGTGCTGGCCCCGGTGTCGAGGCCTCGACCTCTCCGGCAAAAACGTCGGCAACCGGCACCGCGAAGCACCGTGAAGCACCGCGAGTGCAGGTCGATAACGATTATATTTCTGAAGCAGTGTGGACTGGACGGCCTCACGCCGGAAAGGGTAATATCATCCTTTTGAAGTAGCAGCCGGCCTCACGCCGCTGAAGGTAATGTTATCTTTGGACAGAATGGACAGAATACAGCAAGCATGCTGTGCTCGCCCTCGCTGACGCCCCCACCCCGAACCAACGGGTAGCTTGGGCGTGCCCACGGCGGGCCCGGGGCGTCGCGTGTCGCGCACAGTCCCTCGCGCCTCTGCCTCCGCGGCGTTGGCGTTAGCGCAGCACGACGGCTACCTTTGTCCCGGCGCCCCTAAAAGGCCCCGCCACGCTGCACCGCGGCACGAGCGCGCCTCCACGCGCTTGCTGGTCTTGTTCGTCATCGCTGATTGCGGCTTCACCCCCGCGCAAACTTGTGCGCTCTCCGGTAGTGAGAGTGAGAGGGTGTGTGCCGCCGGTTGTTCCATCTCTGTCGCTCTGGTCGCGAAACCCGGAGCAGTACGCTGCGCTGCTGCGTGGCCAACTGCGTGCCCCAGTGCCCCGCCGCCCAGGCCAGTCCACGCCCCAACACGCTGCGCACGCGGCGCACGCCCCTGCAGGCTGCTTCCGAGCAGTGCGGCGTCCTGCTGTCTCTCTCGCACTCACGGGGCAGTACGGCGGTGCGTAGGGGCGCGAGAGAGACAGCGAGAGGAATCGCTCGGCAGCACTTTGGTCGATCGTGTCCGCGCGGCGCGGCGGCGCCCTCATGCCGGCCGATATGGCGCCACCGCACAGGCCGTGTGTCAGTGCGAGAGAGAGAGTGGGCGTCGCTAAGCGGTACGTGGACGCAGCACAGGGGGCCAGCAACCGGAGCAGGCGGCCAAAATTCTAGACGCGTTTTGAGCTCCAGAGTCGCTAAATAAGACTCGAATCGAACGTGTGACCCCACCAATGGATTGCTCTCCGAACGAGGAATCCATTGGTGGGGTCAAACGCTCGGTTTGAGTCCCATTTAGCGTTTCTGGAGCTCAAAACGCGTCTGGAGGCCGCCTCCACCGGTGTCTGGCCCACTGTGCGGCGAATGACGCCAGTTCCGAGATTGGGGCTAACTCTGGCTCACTGCACTGTAAGAGGCTCGGTGCACGGCGGTGCACTGCATGATGCAGTCGCGTGACGTCATCGCGTCACCGCGAGGCGCCCCGTTGTATGGAGATGAGGTGACGAACGCCGCTGCAGCGGCTGCATGGCGGGACCTATGGGCGTGGCGGGGCGGGGCGTTGTCTGGCGACGCTTGCCCGTATCGAGGGGCGCGGTGGTGGGGCGGGGCGCGGCGGGCCGCTGCGGCCAGCAGACGATGTGGGCGTCGAAAGGCGACCGACACCTGCCCGATAAGTGAATGGACGGTGGAAACCGGTCGCCGTTGACACGGTTCGTCAAGGTTTGTTTGGAAGAGGCCCAAATGGAAGCAGCGACGGCGCGCGTGTGTGTTGTGTGTGTGTGTGTGTGTGTGTGTGTGTGTGTGTGTGAAGTGCATTACGCACTACTTGTCGACGGCCACGGCATCCACGGCGGCCACGCTGCCGGCGTCGTGACGCTGCTCCTTTGCGTGCCGCTGGCGCCGACGACGCCGACGACGCGGTGCCGCCACTCCCCGCCGCGCCTCCGCGCCTCCAAGGCCACGGCCAGCGTGCCTTCCTCCCACTCCGCCCCCGCCCCACCTGGCCCGGCAGCCCGGCAGCCCCGCGGCCCCGCAGCCCCGCAGCCCCGGCTGGTGGCACGACGCCGTCGTTTAGACGAGAGTCCGTTGACTCGCCACCTCCGGCTGGACCGGCGTCGCTACAGTGTGGCGGCGCCGCCCGGAGTGGAGACCTCTACGCACGACTCAAGGGGCCTAGGCCTAACCCTTGGGCCCCGAGCGGCAGGGCCGAGGCGGACGCACGCGCCTTGGGTCGGGCCCCGGCACGCCCCGTTCCTCTGAGCCTCCATTTCGTCGCTGTCTCACTCGCACTCATGCGGCGTCTCGTAGTGGCACGAGAGAGACGACCACTCTCTGGAATAGCTCGCTGCTGCGGTGGGGTCGCGCGCGCAGTCTCTCAGCGAGATCCGAATCAGAATCTCATCTCACTTTCAAATGCCCCGCTCCGCTCCGCGCTCCGCGCATGCGCGCTGGCGGTCAAGGTCCTTCCCATGCGCCGCACGCCGCGCCCTGCAGACTGATTCGTCGCTCTGTCTCTCTCGCACCTATACGGGTCGCCCCACAAGTGCGAGAGAGACAGAGCGTCGAAGACGACTCTCGGAATCAGTCTGCTGTTCTTCCAATTACGCTCCTCCAGCCGCGGCACTGCAAGGCTCGGCAAGGCTCGGCAAGGCTGGATGGCACGAGATTCAGTCCCACCGCTACAATTAATTGGGCCGCCATGTTTTCCTTCTCACATTAAAACGCGCCAACCGAGGCGGAGCGGTGCGGAGCTGCGGAGCGGAGGGAAGTCCTTCCCGCTGTCCGTGCCGGTGCGGGCCGGGCCGCCCGGGTCGGTGCGGTGGGTCGGGGAGCGCGGGCACGTTGGGCTGCCTACCCGCCGGGCGCAGCGCAGCACAGTGGGCCAGAACACCGGTGGAGGCGGCCCAAATCCCGGACGCGTTTTGAGGAGCTCCGGAGTCGCTAAATGGGACCCGATGAATGGAACGTGTGATCCCACCAATGGATTGCTCTCCGAACGAGGAATCCATTGGTGGGGTCACACGTTCGGTTCCAGTCCTGGTACTGCAGTCCTGGCCCACTGTGCGTAGGGCAGCATGTTCCACAAGTATACTCCGACCAAACCAGGTCTTCCCACTTTGGTCGGACTATAGTGTGCTGTGTCCCCTGAGTCTGCTCCTTGCCTGGACGTTCTTTCGCTCATCACGGCCTCCCCCTTGTCACAGGCCGCGCTGCCAGAATGCCGCGTCGACAACTTCACCTCGGACTGGAACTCCGGCATCACCCTCAGCGCGCTGCTGGACTACTGCAAGCCGGGCCTGTTCCCGCACTGGAAGGTCCTCGATCCCTCCGACAGGTAAGTCTGCCCCTGCCTTTCTCAAATCCTCTCTTTTCCATTTCTAAATTATTTTTCTTAAGACAAAAAACACTATTTTCGCTCTTGGCAAAATTTATTTTTTTTGAAAAAGCAACTTGATTGCGTGCGTTGTGACGTGTAGTAGTGTTAAGTGTCGCCGCGATGTCCGGCCTGCTGATAAGGCCCTCCTCGTGGGAACTGCGGTGTGCGGCGTGCCCACTCTGTAGACTCATTCCGAGGGTCGTTTTCGTCGCTCTGTCTCTCTCGCACTTGTGGGTCGTCCCGTATAGGCGCGAGAGAGACAGAGCGACGAAAACGAATCTCGGTTTCAGTCTGCTGGCGGTCCTTTCCCAGGCGGTCGCAAACTGTCGTCGCCGTTGTTGACGGCCTTGTCCTTGTCCTCAACGCGAGCGCTGCCGCATTGCTGTCCGCAGGGTGGAGAACTGCCGCACCGCCATGGAGATCGCCCGGCGCGAGTTCAACATCCCCATGGTGCTGGAGCCCGAGTACCTCGCTTCGCCCTACCTGGACGAGCTGTCCGGCATGACCTACCTGTCGTACTTCATGAAGGAGAACTCACCCGGCTTCCACGCCACCCTGCGCTGGGTCAACAACCAAATCCCACAGAACCCCGTGCGGAACTTCACGGTGAGAGTGGTACCCTAGAAAACCAAACTGAACCAAACCAAATAATCAATACAAATTAACCGTACGTGTTTCTTTCCTTTCCAGAGGGATTGGAACGACGGGCGCGCCCTGTGCACCCTCGTCAAGTCCCTGGGCGGCCCCGTGCCCGGCTACAAAGACATGTCCTTCGACCCCGACAGCTGGGAGTCCAACCTGAACGCCGGTTAGCCTCAGCGCCTCTCATTTACGGAAGGTCCCCGAGTCGCCGAGTCGGTGCAGCCTGCGGGCGCCCTCGTGTCCTCCAGCGTCGCATGTCACCTCCACGTCGAGGGCGCCGCGGCCGCCGGTTCGATTCCCGGTCGCATCTGTAATGGAGTTTATTTTTTTCGGACCTGCAGGAATCCAGGGCGGCAAACGGCTCGGCGTGGAGCCCATCCTGCGCGCCAAGGACATGGCCAACAAGGAGGTGGAGAACCTGGGCGTGATGGCGTACGCCGCCAACTTCCAGTGGGTCAGGCCGCGCTCCAAGCCGGGCGACCGCGTCGTGGCGTCGGCTGACTCGCACCACACGCGCGTCGACCAGCAGACGCACTTCAAGATCGAGTTCCTGGAGGAGGACATCGAGGCCCGGGAGGTGTCCGTCGAGGTGCAGGGGCCCGGGGGCAGCAAGCTGGACTGCCGTCTCAACCTGGGCCCTCGCGGCGGCACCGGCACTTTCATCCCCGTCCGAGCGGGCATGCACAAGGTGACAGGGTTCGATCCCCGTTCACGCCGTCTAATTTTCCCGTTTGTGTCCGTCACTAACCGCGCTGTGCTCCGCAGGTCATCATCAAGCACGAGGGCGAGGCCGTCAAGGGCTCCCCGATCCACTACCGCGCGCTGCCCGAGCTCACCAGCATCCACCACGTCGGCATGGAGCCCTGCGCCGTCGGCTCCATCGTCGAAGTGCTGGTGAGTTGCCGCGTGACCCACCCCAGCCCAGTGGACCAGAAGACCGGTGGAGGCGGACGAAACTCAAGACGCGTTTAGAGCTCCAGTGTCGTTGAACAGGACTCGAACCGAACGTGGGACCCCACCAATGAATTGCTCGCCGCACGAAGAATCCATTGGTGGGGTCACATGCTCGGCTCGAGTCCTGTTTGGCGACCCTGGAGCTCTAAACTCTTCTGGACTTTTGGCCGCCTGAGCCCATCTGTACAGCGTGTAAAGACCACACAGCAGCCCGTGTCTAAACGCGTCCTTCTCCGTGTCCAGATCAACTCGAACGGCACCAACACGAACGAGATCTCTGTGGTGGCGCGCTCCCCCACGGGCCGCGAGCTGTCGTGCCCCGTGCACGAGAACAAGGGCGTGCACAGCGCCACCTTCCAGCCGGACGAGGCCGGCGAGTGGACCATCGGCGTCATGCACGGCGGCCAGCACATCCAGGGCGGCCCCTTCACCTGCTTCGTCTTCGACCCCAACGGCGTCAAGGTAGGGCTTTACGCCGGGCCACGAGATCGGTGCACTGCAAACCTAACTGTCTACTAAGTACTACACACTTACAAATGCATGCTCGCAAGTACACACTTACAAACGCATGCTTGACGCCGTATAACTCCATGCGTCAAGCATGCGTTTGTACGTGTGTACTTGCAAGCATGCATTTGTGTGTACTTGGCCAAGCATGCGTTTGTACGTGTGTACTTGCAAGCATACACAGTAAGTGTGTACTTAGTTGGCAGTTAGGTTTGTAGTGTGGAGCCGGCCGGAATTCGAGACGCGTTTTGAACTCCTGAGTCCTACACTGGCATTTCCCGAAAGTACATTTTTTTGGAGTTTCTCTGTTGATATTTTGAGTAACTTTGCGAGGCCGCGGTGCTCTCAAAGTTGCTGAGGCCAAAGCGTCCCCGAGGCTCTTGTGTGGGAGAGTACCAGAATGTTTCTGGAGGGCGCTTTGACCACTTGTACACTGTCAGTTTTACGAGGTGGTGAAACCTCCGACGATGTTTCTCTAAACACGAAACTCGCAGTGAAACAAGTTATATTTTTTTTGCAGTTGGAGAACATGGACGGGGCGCAGCCGCACGCGCCGTTCAGCTTCGTGCTGGACACGACGGCGACGGGCGGGCTGGGCGACGTGGAGCTGGACATCGTGCACGAGCGGAAGTCCATCCCCCACCACGTGGAGCACCTGGGCGCCTCCCTGTACCGCGTCACCCTCAACACGGGTCGCGCCGGCAAGTACCGCGTCTACGTCTACTTCAACGGCCAGGACGTGCGGGGTGAGTCGGCGTCACTTTTCGTTTTCAAAATTAAAAGGCCAAAAACAACAACAACTTTGTGCCTGTCTCTCTGTCTGCAGGCAGTCCCTTCCCCCTGAGGGTCGGCACTCAGCGATCGAGAGAAAAGGAACGCATCAGAGCAAGTACGCATCACCAAATCGATAAGATTTTAATTGTCCCCTTTTCAAAATAAACGTCCACCTTTTGAGTTCACTACCATTAATATTTTTACAACAGACCTGGAGGAGAGGGAGGGGCTCAAGTCACCACAGCTGGTCGAGTCGGCCACGTCGCCGACGTTCAAAATGTCGTCGCCGTCGCCGGACCTCGACCTGTACCAGTCCAGCAGCGCCTACAAGACGGACGCCTTCGAGTCCAACAAGTACAAGTCCGACTACGACTCCAAGTACCGGTCGTCCAGCGCGGACTACGTGGACTCGGGGAGGTACAAGTCCGACTACGACAACAAGTACAACAGCAAGTACAAGTCGGACTACGTCACAGGTCAGGCTCGGACTTACTACTTTTTCTGATAAAAAGCCCATGAAAAGTTGCTGAATGTTTGAAATGGTCACTCAGAAAGCAGACACGTGTCGTCGCTGGAGACGGGGCTCAGCCGGTCGCACATCACGGACAGCTTGTTGAACGGGAGGTCCTCGCCGTACCTACGGCACTCCCCGTCGCCGGCGCCGTCACCAGTGCCATCCCCCCTGCCGGGCCTGTACCGCTCCCCCAGCCCCCGCCTCAGCCCCAGGGACAGCCCCAGCCTGCTCACGCCCCTCAACGCCTTCCACGTCAACGGCGTCACCGAGAAGAGGACGGAGAACACGCGTGGTACGCACACACACAACAAAAACTAACATTGAACAAGATTCGAACCCGAGTATCTCGATTGGCAGCCCAGCTCGCTTCCAACCGCGCTACCCCGTCCTTGTGTTGCAGTGACGTCATTGCTGAGCAGCGCCAACCAGCGCGACCAGAGGCGCGGCTCGTGGGACCGCGGCGACTCGGTGCTCGGCAAATCGCACAGCTACCTGCAACACGCCTCGGCGGGGATTCTCGAGGACAAGTACTCCACCTGTACGTGAAGCCGAGTGAAGTGAAGTGAAGCGGGGCGAGGCCGTGCCAGTTCGTAGTCTACCGGGCTGTAATTCCGTCTCAAAGTCACACACCATTTCTTTTCTATTTTTGCGAACGCCGCCCTCAGCGAAACCTTTACACTATCCAGACTATTTCCCTTCCTCTTGCTAGTTTCACCAGCCACTTTTTTTCTGTTTTCTCGTGCTGCATTGCAGGTGTAGAATCCTCCTCCAGTCGCGAAATCTCGCACTAACTCGCGCTTGCCCCTCGCGGGGGAGCGCCGCCTCACCGGAATTACAGCCTGGTGGACGACGCTTGTCGGTAAGGCTTACTAACAGGGCTAACGCATACTCACCGCCTCTCCCCCGCCTGCAACCCGCAGCTAACCTCGTAACCCGGGAGCAACAGCAGTCCTCGGGCCTGGCCAAGCGCGTGGTCACGCAGCACCAAGTGGAGCACGCCAAGGCCAGGCGCATGGCCTCCCCCCTGCCGTCGCCGCACCCCGACGACCTGGACGCGCCCGTGCACGGCGACGCCCTCCGCCTCGTGGCCGTGCACCGCACCGCCAGCTTCACCCTCGACACCTCCTTCGACGGCCACCCGGCCGCCGACCTGAGTGACGTCAACATTGAGATCTTGTGTAAGTGCCTGCGGGAGGCGACACACAGTGGGCCCGAAGGCCGGTGCAGGCGGTGAAAACTCAAGACGCGTTTTGAGCTCCACTTGAACCAAATGTGTGACCCCACCAATGGATCCCTCGGTCGAAGAGCCATTGGTGGGGGTCACACGTTCGGTTCGAGTCCCATTTAGCGACTCTAGAGCTCTAAACGCGTCTAAAAGTTTGGCCGCCTGCACCAGTCACCTGGTCCACTGTGCAACAATCAGTGTTCCTGAGTCATCGTCATTGTCCCCTTGACGTGTGCGTCCTGAATGCCTGAATGCCCCGCCCAGCGCCGTCCCGCCGCTCCGTGCCCGTGCGGCTGTCCCGGGGCGCAAGGCGCGAGCTGGTGGAGGCGCACTTCACCGCCACCGAGGTCGGCGAGCACGTGGTGGACGTGCACGTGCGCGGCGAGCAGGTCCGCGGCGCGCCGTTCCGCACGCACGCCTACAACGCGCGCGCCATCCAGGTCGGCCGCATCCCCAACGGCGTCCTCGGCCAGCCCGTCGAGTTCGAGAGTGAGTCTTCGAGTACCTCGAATGCTGGTGCGGAAAGCCGCACGCTCTGCTCAAATCCGATTTTCAACAAACCATAATGTTCTAGTCGACGGTTCCGGCGCTGGATCGGGCAACCTGGAGATCCTTGTCAACGGCGGCCACGTCACCAGCTCGGTGCGCACCCTCGGCAACCAGCGCTTCCGCGCCTCCTTCGTGCCCCACGAGCTGCTCACCCACGTCGTCGAGATGAAGTTCAACGGCGAGACCGTGCCCGGTGAGTCCCCGCTCCGCGCCGCACAGTGGGCTAGAAGATCGGTGGGGGCGGCCAAAATCCTAGACGCGTTTCTAGCTCCAGGGCCGCTAAGTAGGACTCGAACCGAACGTGTGACCCCACCAATGGATTGCTCTCCGAACGAGGAATCCATTGGTGGGGTCACACGTTCGGTTCGAGTCCTGTGTAGCGACTCTGGAGCCCAACGCACGGCCAGAGATTTGTCCGCCCACTGTGCTACGGTCTGCGTTCCGCTTCAGTGCCCCGCCCCCGCCGCGTAGGCAACCCTTCGAACGCCCGCGCTGCGCTGCGCCCGGGCGGCAGGCCACACCTCGGCCGGCCGCCTCGCCGCCTGGAGTTCAGGCCGCACTTCGGCCACCATTACCATTACCATTAAGGGCTAGACCACACATGATCGTATGCCATTTCGGGCCCGCACCACGCAGCGCCTTATTACCATTACCATTGAGGGCTAGGGAGGGGCTGGCACTCCTGTAGTGGGCGTTGGTGTGTCGTCGGGTAGGCCGCAGCTCCGTGTGCCCCATGTTATGTTATCTTCATGAGCCTTCTGCTTTCCCTGACGGACCAACAAGTTTAGGACTGCAGCCTACATTTATTTTCACATCTCTTTCAAGCGCTTGAAAAAGTCTTCCTGCGATTGACGGACGCAGTCCTGGTTACAGCGTGCCTATTTTCGGTGTGAGCGCGGTCCTCCTGGAGTGCGGTGTCGTCGTCACGGCGTCGCGGCGTCACGGCGTCACCACCACACTGTAATTGCCGTAACCACGTCGTCCCGCAAGGAGACTGTCAGGCCGCGGAGCCGCGCGTTTTATGAGCAGTGAGCTGCGCCTGCCGTCTGATTCCGAACACTGCTTCGTCGCTCTGTCTCTCTCGCACCCCTACGGACCGCCCCATGAGTGCGAGAGAGACAGAGCGACGAAAGCAGTGTTCGGAATCAGACGGCTGGTCGCCCTGTCTCTCTCGCACCCCTGCATGGCGCCCCGCGAGTGCGAGAGGGACGGAGCGGCGAAATAGTGCGGTCCGGGCTGCAGCGTGCCGTGCTAGTGCCGTGCCGGCCCGCGTCGCTGCGCTCCCAGGGCCCGCGGCGCGCTGCTGCCACTCGCTGCCGCTCGCCGCTTCCGCGACGCGAGGCTGGGGCGCGCGGCGCGCCTACTCTGTGAGAAAAGCGGCCTTTCAATTCATTTCCGAGTGCTAATGAAGCGGGTGGCCGCGCATGGCGCGTTTTGGCAGCGGATTCGCTCTGTCGGCACCTCTCAAAGGGAAAGCCATTGCGGGCTGTGTGTGTGTGTGTGTGTGTGTGTGTGTGGTGTGTGCGCGCGCGCGTGCGGTGTGTGTGCGTGTGAGTCCTCCGGAATGCAGCCACGGCCCGCCTCCGCCGATGATTCCCTGCCGGTCGGCCTGCCCGGCCTGCCTATCCCCGGCGGGCCGCGCGCTGCGCGAACTGTTTCCACCGTCCGGCGGACACGGCGGCGCCGGGACGACGTCGACGTCGGGCTCGAGTGGATCGGCGGGGACGGCGCGGCGACGCTCCACTGGCCACGCGACGCCGCGGCCAGTCTTCTGGTTTTCTTGCGATGCCGTCCTATCCGCCGTCCGCCCGTGGCGGTTGTGCTCTGGAATTCACCTCCACCTGCCCCGCCCTGCCCCCCAGTCCACCAGTGCGCTTCTTCTATTCTCTGGGCCGGTCAGCCCTGCGCTTCGCGGTGCTTCGCAGCCGCGGCGCACAGTGGGCCAGAAGACCGGCGGCGGCGGCCGAAACTCTAGACGCGTTTTGAGCTCCGGAGTCGGTAAACAGGACTCGAACTGAACGTGTGACCCCACCAATGGATTCCTCGTTCGGAGAGCAATCCATTGGTTGGGGTCACACGTGCGGTTCAAGTCCCGTTTAGTGACTCTGGAGCTCAAAACGCGTCTAGAGTTTTGGCCGCCGGCGCTGGTCATCTGGCCCACTGTGCGGCGTGGCCGTGGTGGCAGGGTTGCCGTCGTGGTGAGGCTCTCCGTTTCCGCGTTTCCGCGTCTGGTCGGAATGCGCCAGGCCAGCCCGGTGCGCCATCACAACAACAAGCACAACGAGCATCGAGCAGTGCGGCAAGGCCTGTTTCGGGGCCGCCAGCTCGCCGCCAGCTCGGGCGGCGCGGTCCGCCCCCCGCCCTAGATCACCGGTCGGCTCCCGACCCGCTCATCGGCGGCGACCGCGACGACCAGCACCGATACCCCGTCAGTCCCGACGATGTCCCCGAGTGCGAGAGAGACAGCACAACGAAAGCACTCTACATGTCCTGCAGGCCTAACGCCCCATGAACTTGGGCTCCATTAGCGACCTCCATGATAACCTGGAACACGTCCGAGGCGAAGGTATGCTCCGAGTGAAGTGGCCCTGTGCTCCGGGCCTCCGGGCTGGCGCACAGTGGGCTAGAAGACCGAGGGAGGCGGCCTAAATTCTAGACGCGTTTTGAGCTCCAGAGTCGCCAACTGGGACTCGAACCGAGCGTGTGACCCCACCAATGGATTGCTCTCTGGACGAGGAATCCAACGGTGGGGTCACAGGTTCGGTCCGCGTCTCATTTAGCGACTCTGGGGCTAAAAACGCGTACAGAGTTTTGGCCGCCTCCACCGGTCTTCTGGCCCACAGTGCGGCGGCGGCGGCGTTCCGGGTGTGACCTGGAAGACCTCCGGCCGGTTGGCGTGCGCGGCGCGGCGTTTATCGCCCTCTTGACGCCCCGCCGCGCGGCGGAGCGGGGCCAAGCGGCCCGCTGGCGGTAGGCCTGCCGCCTGCCGCCGTGCGGCCCCGCCCGTCCGGTGAACGGCGCCAGCGTCGCCAGCAAGGCCGGGCTGGAACGCGCTGGAGCTGCAGAACGCCGGCTGGAGGCTGATGCCGAGAGTCGTTTTCATCGCTCTGTCTCTCTCGCACTCGTGGGGCGTCCCGCGTAGGTGCGAGAGAGACAGAGCGACGAATCACGATCTCCTCAGTGTGCTGGAGGCTGCGTGGGCCGCGGTGCCGACAACGCCCTCACCGGCCCGGTATGGCGCGGCGGGGCGGGGCGGGGCGGGGCGGGGCCCACGCGAATTGTCGTGACCTCCAGCCTGAGAGGACGGCGAGGAGGACGAGGTGCCACCGTTGCGGCCCTAGTCAGTAGACACGCCCCGCCCCCCTTCCCCAGGTAAAATTTCGCGCACTTTTCTCTGTCGAGGGTTTTTATTTCGGCGGGCTCGGCGTTCAAACACTCGCTGGGCACCCCGCCGTCGACGCGTCCCCCCCCCTCTTCCCCGCCGGTTCGCCGGACCTCGCCATCCCGATTCATGTCAGTAGGCCACATAGCACGGCGTCCACGGCGTCCACGGCGCCGGCAACCCGAGGAGGGCCCAGTCCGCACAGTGGGCCAGAAGACCGGCGGAGGCGGCCAAAACTCTGGACGCGTTTTCAGCTCCAGAGTCGCTAAGTGAGACTCGAACCAAACGTGTGACCCCATCAATTGATTGCTCTCCGAACGAGCAATCCATTGGTGGGGTCACACGTTCGGTTCGAGTCCTAATCAGCGACTCTGGAGCTCAAAACGCGTCAAGAGTTTTGGCCGCCTCCGCCGGTCTTCTGGCCCACTGTGGGCCGCCCAGGCCTGCAACGGGGAGGCAATGGCGAAGGCAAGCGGTCCAGCAAATGAGACGTCAAAGCGGAGATTGGCGTGGGCGGTCCGGAGCGGCGCCGCGCCATCGCCAAGATGGCCAAGAAGGCGGGGGTGGCCGCGGCCGCGAAGATACATTTCAGGCAGGTCATCGAACTAGGATCCGGTCAGTGTTTGCTCAAACTGCGTTGCCCACACAGTAAACATTCGCCGAAGTTTTTCGACGTCCAGCAGGTTGCTGCTTACTTTACGGCGATCCCGCTAACATTGCTGGCATCACAAGCCACCGGAAAGGCGTCACGGACATATTTCATTTTTGTTTGTCTTGCCCGAATGTTTGCGGACATGCACGCGGCTTTCTCCGTTGTTTGCAATCAGGCCGGACCGTCTGTCCCTCTCCCCTCTCTGCCGGCACTCCCGACCTCGTCACGCACTTGCACGAGTGCGACACGGCTGCCTCGCAGCGCGCTGATTCCGAACAGTTTGTCGTCGCTCCGTCTCTCTCGCACTCGTGGGGCGTCCCGTAGGGGTGCGAGAGAGACAGAGCGACGGGGCTCCGCACCGAATGGCTCTGCTGTTCCATTATTCCCCGGAGTCACTCCCCGAGTCGCCCGGAGTCCCTGCGCTGCGCCGCGCCGCTGCAAGCACACTGCAAGCAGGCCGCCTGCTCCAGGCCCCGCCGCCTGCTCTCATTCAGCCAGACTCGCCAACCTTACCCCGCGCTGGCACGGCCGGCATGGCTGGCATCCACGAGCCGGCCCGCCACCAGACTGATTCCGAGAGTCGTTCTCGTCGCTCTGTCTCTCTCGCACTCACGGGGCGTCCCGTCTAGGTGCGAGAGAGACAGAGCGACGAAAACGACTCTCGGAATGAGTCTACAGTGTACCAACTGATGAACCGGTTGGCCGCAATGGCACGGCGTCGACCCGGCGGCCGCGGCCTGCGTGGCGCTTCGAGCTTCGAGCTTCGAGTCACTGGCCGCGATGCCCCCTCCTTCCTCCAGCACCTGCCCAACGTGCCTGCAGACTGATTCCGAGAGTCGTTTTCGTCGCTCTGTCTCTCTCGCACTCACGTGGCTTCCCGCATGAGTGCGAGTGGGACAGCGCGAATGAAAACCACTCTCGGAATCAGTCTTACTGGCCTAGCCTGCCCGGCGAGGGGGGTCTTGTGCGCGAACGCGTGGCCGTTCAAGCTTTATGCGTGGTTGACTTGCAAACAAATTATGAAAATGAGAGTGTGAGGATCGCCAAGCTTTGCATCGTAGTTAGTCGAGCCCCGCCCCGCGGCTTGCTTGGCTCCGCGCTTAGCCGCCGCGTCCGCGCGTGCTTCGCGGTGCTTCGCGGCGCTCCGCCACTGTCGCCT